TGTGTGTGTGTGTGTGTGTGTGTGTGTGTGTGTGTGTGTGTGTGTGTTAAGTGATGTATGACTCATGCTACTGTTGGCACAACCACCTCCCTCTCTGTCTGTTCCTCTCTTTCATTTAATTGGTGGTGCTTTATAGGCACGAGACACTTTATAAATTAACTCTGTCTCTCTCCTCTAGGGGGGAAGGTGGATGCCGTGGAGTGTACGCTACCAAAGGATCTGCGTGGGAGAGACATCCGTGGTGTTCCGGTGGAAATGTTCAATTACTGCCTCCAGCTTGAAGATGAGAATGGAGGAGGTGGTGAGGGCACTCGTTCTGGACAAGGAGCTGGTCCTCCATGCAGCAGGAGTGCTCTCAATCCAAGTGGGGCAACACCAGTTTCTGCCAACAGCAACACTGGAGCTGACTCCTCTTCAAACAGTGGAGGTGGCGGAGGAGGAGAGGCCCCGCCGGATTGCGTCCGGGCTCGTTACAAGCCCGTGAGCGTGCGGCGTGCCATTGGCACGGTGGTGATTGCTGGCGTGGTGTGCGGCATTGTTTGCATCATGATGGTTGCTGCCGCTGCTTATGGCTGCATCTACGCCTCCCTGATGGCCAAATACCAGAGAGAGCTAAAGAAAAGGCAGCCATTGATGGGGGATGGAGATGGCGATGGGGAGGACAGAGAGGAGAAGCAAATCTCCTCTGTGGCCTAAAGGAGGATTGGGACCGGAAAGGGTTCCCGTCTTAAAGGGTTAATGTCAAAAGGGGGTGAATATTAAAAGGGCTTAAAGATGAGAGAGATGGAAGCACTTGAGTTAGGCTAACAGTTCTATTATATTTTCTCCAGCTCAAAAACTGACACCTTTCTCCCACTTTTTGCCTCCCTGTCTTCATCCTTTTCTATTTGTGACCTTCTTCCTCTGTCTCCTCCTCCAGCAAACTCCCACACACATATCTTATCTGCTCCCTGAGTTTCTTTTCAATTTGGATCTGTTTTCTTTTCAGTATCTGTTACCAGCATTCCCTCTCAGTCGCCCACCAAACACCTACTGCAGCTGATTTTGCCATCATATTGATAGGGAGAACAGACAAAGACTTTGTATTCTCTCTAATATGACATGTATAACTGATGCTGCTACTGAAGACTCGTGGTTTGTGGTCAACGAATAAGCTAGACTTAAAATTCAGGGACTCGTAGCATGTACGGTGATTATTGGACCAGTGTCATGAATAGTTGTAGTGCTGTGTCTGTTTTTACAACTTTACAAATGTCTTGGACTCCAGCCCTGACCTTCCCACCTTCTTCTGACTGAGTCCTGCTCCGATCTTTTCTCTCGAAACCTCCGAGATCCTGGGAAACAACTTATGGTCAAAATTTGTTTGGAAAAGAGAAAAATCTAAAAGGAAATACCATTCACACCCTCAAAGCCTTTATACTGCGTTGAGAAGATACAGAGGACAGATTCAATCTTGATGGGAAAATCAAACATAAAAGTCTCAGAAAATCATGTAGATTTGCAAGACGGAGTAATCATTATTTGATTGACAGGCAATCTATGACAGATTCAGATGGACCAGATGTCACTAATTCTTTGAATCTTCTGTGGATAATAAAGAAAATTGCCTGCAGTCATAATTATGGAAGAAATAGCATTTAATGCAGCATCATTTAGCTGTGTTTGTCCTCTTGTATAATGGTTCTGATCAATGTCCGGACGGATCAGAAGTTATTCTATCATGATGAAAAATTGATCAAACTAATGTAATGTTGTTACTTGGGAGATGTGTCTGGATCAGGAAAGGTTTCGGCACATTTCAATGGAAAGAAATGACCACAGACTTTAAATGGAAGCTGATATTCTTTGCTCTAAAGTCATTATCTGACTGACTTCCTCCAGCAGAGATAAATGTTAATTGCCTCTGGGAGATAGGATGATATGCTTATGGAGGCATGAAAAACAATCTCGGAGAACACCCTCTCCTGGAAAGGACTACAAGAATTGTTCTAAAGACTACAAACAGTATGTCAGACTCCTGCACTTTATTCCTTCCCTCAATCAAATCCCTTCTCTCCCTCTTCTCCTCTTTCTCTTTCTTTATAAGATGGACGAACTGCCAAGAGGGACAATAAAGAGGGATATGATTTTTAAAAAGCTGCTATTTTTCCTTGTTCATCTTTTTATCTCTCAGTTAATCTTTCCATTCAATGCTATTGTTGGAAAGTCTTTCACACTCCTCAAAGATTTTCACCTTCATCATCCTTCCACCAAAACTGTTTCTGGTAATATGCAATGGAAGATCTGTTACCATAACATGGACATGTGTCCTAATGAAAAAACACAGAAAAGCTCATCGCTTTTTTTTGTGAGGAACACAGTTGCACTTTAAAAAAATATGTTTTTTTTTAACCATGTTTTCATAGCATCTCAATTCACACCCAGATATATTCATTTGGACTTTAACATATTTCGCTTTTCAGAAATGGACTGCTGTCTCTTAAAATGACTGAAGTAGCATTCGTTGCATATTGCTCCCTGGATAAAAATGCTGTTCCTACCATTTTCTTCATGTTTTGATTGGCTTGAAATTAACTTATATCGACTGCGTGTTATCTTATACCCACGTACAATGGAGATAAATGTTATTATGCTAGTCTTGATGTGTTGGCCCATAAAACCCAAAATGTTTATGATGTAAGTGCTTATGGTTTCCTGTATGAACTCACAATATATGTATTTTGTTAATGACCTCTATGTTTTGTTTTGGGCTCTATCATCTCTGTGATGCTTATTTGTTGTGTCCTTATACTTGTGTTCAGATGTTGGTACCATTTCTGTAGGAGCATAGACAGAGTTTAGAGTGTGTCTCAGAGGGTGTACTGCTCCACCTCTAAAATTTGGTTGTATAAATTAAATAACTTCTGGCATGATGTAATACCTCTGTCAAAATCTCCCAGCCTACTCTCATGAGACAGTCCATAAATCATACACATAGACCTGTGCTGACAGCCCCCCCCCCATTTCATGTATATGGGGAGTAATTACTATTAAAAATTAACCTGAAGCGATATGCAATGGAATCAGTACATTCATATAAAAATCAATGAATTATTTGATTTATGAATTATTTTTAATTTTAATCTATTTGAGATGACTGTCTGCATGTATGGATGTGGCTTCTATATTCTATTCACCTTTATATATATCTATATATAACAATTCCTTTGTTGATAGGTTTTTACAGACACATGGGAATTTTTGGAAAATCAAATTCAAGTTCAAGACATGCATAAACCAGTAATAGTAGGCAGAGATCATTTGAAAAAAAATTAAAGCTAAAAACTGCAGCTAAGATACAGCTCTATCCTGAGGTTTCTATATGTGTTTATATTCAGTAGCAACAGCTTATTTGCAGTAGCAGGCTGAACAGATTATTGAGAAAAAAGCGGTTTCAGAATACTAATTACTGGCCATTTCAAATCAGCTCCAGGTTGTATTATAACGTGTGACACTTGAGTACACATACACATCTCTATAGCTTACAAATGGAAAGAGATTTGAAAGCAAGTACGAGTCATTTTCATGCCTTTAAAGAATCCCTCAACATATTCTACATAAAAAGAGAAATAGAAAAAAAATTCAGCTTCACAGACTCACACACAACTAAAGCAATTAAACTCTGTCTATGAACCTCGAAACACTGTCATCCAACTCCCTGGTTTCAAAGTCTTGTAATTTCAGTAGCTAAGGATCTTACCTAGCTAAATCCTCTCCTTATAGCTTGTTTGTGTAAAGAAAACTAAACTATCGTTTGTTACGTAAAACTGCAGCAGCAGACATGATGACTGAGGACCCTTATGATGGCACAGCTCAGAAATCTGTGGTATGTTGTGTTCTTCTGCTGATTGTGATTATGACAATGGTGATGATATTATGATAGTGGTTATGAAGCATTTCCTGGTCAATATGCATTCATTGGAATAAAAACATATCACACCTGGTCCTTATGAGATGTAATAAACAACAAGAAACATTACCAAGCAAAAACTGACACAGCGTGTGTCACTGCTTCTGCAGATGCAAGAGGCGGTGAGGTGCTGCAAACAAAATGCACCTCATTAATCAGCAAGAGTGAGTGGAAAATCTTGGTAATTTGCTGGTCTGGAGAATTCAGGTGTGTATTCACAAAATACAAAATACAAAAAATAGATACAATGATTTCAGAGAAGAACACTGTAGGTAGGGTAAGACGCTGATTTCGCAACAATTTGGAGTCGCAATATTCCTGCATTTTGCACTTTAATCTACATGTATTTACCTAATTTTAAGACCCCAGTATATTTAAGTTGATGAACTACTTTCTGCTAAAAATTGTACACGAAAGATTCTGATTAAGATTAGATGTCTTACATTAAAAAAGGTTAAAGACGGCTGAGGCTCATTGATTCTAATGCAGTTTTAATGGTACAGAAGAAGAGGCTGAATTATTACTTTTTCATGTCGCTGACTTTGCATTTTTTATGTGCTGAATTGTCAGGTTTTCATTAGGTATCCCATTTAAGATGTTTATATACATTTCTGTCAGTATATTTCTGCTATGGGGAATTAGGCTCTCTGTCTCAGACAGAACTACAGTACATGCGTGTTGTGTGGACTATTATAACTCCAAGCCCCTCCCATGTTTGACGTTAATCCGTTTGCACCATTAAAATTACATTAGAATCAGTGAGCTCTTTTATCCTTTGAAAGCTGATTGTCCTCCAGCTGAAACACAAAGTGCACACAGTTTGCAATGTGCAGGGTTTGTTTTTGATTGGTGATACCAAGACGAAAGAAAATATCAGTGCCATTGCAAAGAGTGTTTTGGGTTTAAGGACAAGTCAGAATATGGGACCAACAGGACATACAAGTAGAAGCCGAGGTGGAGAAAATGTGCAGCATCAAATGAGAACATCAATCAGTTTTGAGAAAAGTTCAGTTTTTTCCTGTCACTGGGGGTCTATGTCCTCTCACCTCTCTTTATTTTTCATCTTTGCTTCCCCTCTCACTTATTTTGTCTCAGTTTATCTTCCTGTCAAATCCTTTTCTATTATTTCCTCTAGACTTTTAGTTTTTTTTGTATGTCCTTTGCTCTTTTTCACGTCCCCTAGTCCTCATTTAAATTCACTACTTCTCTTCCACGTCAATCCTTTCTATCCTTCTCCAACTTGACATAACTATTCCCTCTTTTTACCATCTTCTCTGCTGTCTGGAGGATGTTAGATTTATTCCCATCCAGCCTGTCATTTGTTCTGTGGATCTAATAGATGTACCTTAGACCTCTACAGACAGTGTTTTTTAACTTTTGTCGTTGACTGATTTTATATCAGCCTTGAAATATGAAATCTACGGTCGTGATAAAAAGAGGTCAAACTAAATCTTTTCAACATCCACCACATTGAGTCAGTGGTGGGGGAATTGACCATGTTGTGTTCAGCTAAACACTGACACACAGTGTTTCTAAAAATGAATTACAATACCTTTACATAGTTCTGCCAAAAGGCTATCTGCACAAACAGGAAACAAACATTTAAAATCCAACTTATGGCTATATCTTTAAGCCAAACATGTCATAAGTTGTTCTACAAAGTGCAGCATTTCTGCTTTCCACATTGGAGTCAACCATATTGCATAGGTAATGTCCCCTCCCTGTGTTTTTCTAATTTTTAGTACACACAGGATTGTAGGTAAATGATTAAGACTTACTGTAAAAGGTAAGAATCATGCCAAGTGGAGAAAGAGTACTGCTTTTTGTGCATATGTGTGCATATCTCTTATTCAGGCAGCTGATGAATATTTGATAGCTTTATGTTTTGAAAGAGCGTCACTAGACAAGAAACCCTCCTTTGCTTCCAGCAGTAAGAAGGAGGGATAGAGAAGAAAATAGAATGTAACATGTCAGGGAAAAGGGGGTATCAGAAGGAGGAGAAAAGCAAAGTGAGGGAAAAATGTGGGAAAGCAAAAGTAAGGAAGGTCTGAAAGCTTAGTCGGGGGGCCAAAAAAGATGTAAGTGTAGGTTTATCAGGGTAAAGAGGATTGTCAGTGTGCATGCAACCTAAGCTGGCAGAAAAGCTGCCCCAGTTGATATTCAGTGATGAACTCTGATAAGCAATCACCTTTAGCCTCTAGCCAGCAGGCACCATGTTACAATATCCAACCAGAATAAAACAAAAACCCTGTTACAACAATGGCCTTAACTGCTTTTGATGTATTCTACAACATGTCTCTTTGATACAAAACTTGCAGTGATGATGAGATGGATCCCTGTGTTAGTTTAAACATATGCCACAGTACTCTGAAACATGTCTATTTTAAACCATCTTAGTCTTGCTCCTGTTTTTCACTTCCTAACATAACATAATGATTTTCACACTTGAGACTATTTCAGTGAAAGCTGTGAAATACAGATGAGTGTGTTTTTCAGTCTGTCTTTGAGCATGAAGAGAGACCAGATGCACACTCAAACACACACACAAATAGACACACACATTCTCTCTCAAGAAACCGCTCCGGAGACTTATCTGGCTCAGATAATTATGACTGATGAGTGTGTCAGTCACATAAATGGTTACTGGGAGACACATTAACAATAATCCACAGTTCTGCAGCAGTGACGCAAAGCAAGGAACTATAGTCTCTAAAAAAATGTTTATGAGTAAAAACACAGAAGTGCACATGCACGCAAAAATACAGGTCCCTGTTCACTGTATTTCTGTCATCAATTTTTTTTATCCACCTTAAAAGCACTGTATGCCACATTCCAGTGTGGATTTGAAAAAAGGAAACAGAACCAGAGCCAGTTTGAAGTGCTTACTCAACTTGTATGACTCTCAATCTCAGAAAAGCTCTCATGTCACTTTTAGTGGGCATGCAGGGCCGTTCTTTTAGAGCCAGTTGGCTCCAGAAGTTAACACACATCTTTAGGGATCTAACAGCAGCTCAGAGTGCGGGTGTGAGCACGCATTTAGATCTGATCTCTGACAGTACAATAATATACTGGTAGAGATATGTGGCCACATGTTGGGAACTGTTAATGTGGATGCTGCTGCAGTCACATCACATGTGCTCATAAAAAACAACATCAAAAAGTAAAATGGAGCATATAGGATTACACCTGCTCGGAGGGACTTAGACTTAATTGATTGCAACATATGTAATTTTCTTCTACTTCTCTTTACATGGCAAGAAATGTTTTTGTGTGGCCAATGTATAAATATTCCAGGTAGTGTCAAGACTTCTCAGCTCCCAGCCTTTTAAACTGAATGCTTCTTAACCTCAATGGGAAATCCAACATTTTGACATTGAACTCAAATTGATTATTTGGGTTTTAATCACAACCATTAACTAAGAACATCAGAGTGAACACATCATGAAGAAGCAAGAAATGCTTTCAGTATTCAGGGAGAGCTCTCAGAGCAAGAGAAACATTATCTTACAGGACTAGAAAGAACATTGAAATTGTGTGCAAAGATCAGAGAAGATCAAACAGAGCAGAAAAGCGGAAAGGTAATAAAAGAATGAACTGTGTCTTTGAATATGAGTGTGCGTTTAACCAAAAAGTATTGCCCTACCTCCAGCTATGGCGGTTTTCTTGCCCACAGTCACAGTGACAGCAGTGGTGGAAATCACTATTCTCCCTGCTGGAAGAACAACACACAGACAGATTAAACCCCAACACCTAATAAAAACACTGAAAGTATTTTCTCCAAGCATACATGCAAGTACTATACCCACATGCAGATAAAAGGTAAATGTGTATTTTCTGACATACTTAATGCGCTTGTGTCAGTCTAAGTAAAATCACAGTGACAGCCCAAGTACTCTTTCAAATATGATGTGTTTGAAAATATATTCTTGGACCTAATATTCAAGACATTCATTAATTCCTCGTCTGCCCATTTATTCACAGCCTTCATGCCAGCAGATGCCAACTGTCATCAAGCCATAGAATCCAGCCAGATTAACATATTAAACATTACATAACACAGATTATGTGAGCTAATCGAACAATATAGTGGCTATGAACGCGTGCATTAAAAGCATCCATGTGCCCGTGCTTTAATGTACCCCTCCAGAAAAAAGGTCTATGCTTAAAATACAATCATGAACTTCACAAAATCATGTTATAACATGATCATTTAGATTCCAAGCAAAGTAATGACATGAGGAAAAATATTGGAAGCATCTTATAAAACTAAATTGGGTCACACAGATCCAAAAACCTTGCTGACATCCTCTGAGAGAAGACAAGTGACCTTATGCTCTGTCGTTATATTCTAAGATATATTATGCATGCTCTGTCTATGGGAGAGAGAAAGTGAAAGAAAGCCAAAGCCGAGCTTAAAAGCAAAACAAACGAAATAGCGGGGACCACCACGTTTGTCTTAAAATCAGAAGGAAAGGAAAAATTGTGAGGAACAATTAAACAGAGGAGACATGCCAAGTATCAGTAGCAGATCTCTACCCTCCTCATCAACATTCTGCTTCACCTCCTCCTCCTCCTCCTCCTCCGTTTCCCTCCGTTTTCTCCCTCCCTTCTCTGCTTGTTGTTCCACCTCTTCAGAACTCAAGGTGGCACTATAGTCAGTCCCAATGTCCCTGAACATGTCTGAAAATGACACACTCCTTTTTACTATGACCCTAACACATACAGAAGACTATTTTCTGGTCCAAAGTAACAATGGTGGTGATACTATGTCAAAGCACATCCATACAAATAGTCTACTTCTTCTTACAATTTAGAAATACATCCATAAAGACAGGAAAAATCAAACAACTTCTCAAAATGGAAGCAGAAATGGCAACCCCCAAATTTGTTTCATATCTGACAAACCACAACTTTACATTGACTTTGCATCTCAAACTTTACCATGTGTTTTTCTAATCCAATCCGTAACCCCAGTCTTTTTAATACCCTGATTTAACCATGTGATTTATACCTAAATTCTGACCCACTGACAGCAAAATGGAGAAGCATCTCAAAAATCACACCGGTTTAGAGATGTGAAGAGGAAGGAGTAGTTAGCACGCCAACTGCAGATAAAAGTGCACTTTTGAAAGAATCTCGGCTCTATCTGCTTAACCTGGATATTTGATTATAAACTGAAAAAGAAAAAAGTAACATTGTGTGAGCATTTAGTGCCTGTGTGTTTGCTAAGTAAGAGCTTGTCCTCTACCTCTGGTCTCCTGTCTGGGCATGTAGTACAGAAACTGTCCAGCTGGGTTCTCAGCTGCTCTGCGGTACCACACAGGGAAATGGTCCAGAGTGAACATATTCTCTTTGTCTGTGGAGGTCAGGAAAGACCTGGGGAGTAACAAAAATAGCCATGAAGAAATGTCTATATTTAAAAGATTAGGAAAGTGAGAAGAGAAAGATTTACTGCTCAAAGAAGACTTGAATTTGACTTTGAATAAAAGTAATTGTATTCCAAACCAACAAATTTGAACTTTTTTCCATTTGGGAAAAAAACTGTCAATCGATTGTAATGAAATGATCTTAACGTTTACAATTAATCAATTTATGATTATATAAATAAATATTATTCTTATTATCTTCATTATTTTGTAATTTTAGGCTATCATTTAAACTCAAATCTATTTGACCACAAGAAGGAGAAATATCTACTTCAACTTGATTCTCCAAATGCAACAACATAAACTTTTCCTAATCCATAGTTTTTTTTTTTTTTACCTCTGCCCAGTTGGTTTTAATTGTAGTCTAACTATAAAATCAGTGTGACATTTTTATAACTTTTTTCCTACTTACTTGCCAATTCTTTTCTCAATCCCTGTATACCTCTGGAATCTCGTCAAGCCTGAACGGGTCCCCAAGAAAGCTGTTTCAATCCCCTCATCAACACTGATGGAGTGCAAAAATTTAAGAAAGAGTGAGACAGGGTAGACAAAGCACAGTACTATTAAAGAAAAAGTGGCTCGATCATGATCTTTTATTCACCCAGATGTGTTGAGCATAAGTGCAGTCCAGTAAGCCTCCATTGGAGCAGTAACAACAGCATCAAACAGAGTTTGTTGCAACAACTGGGCGTCACCTGATGAGACAAGCCACAGAGCAAGAGCATGACATCTTGGGAGAAAGAACGTGGGCAGAAAAGATGTTCACATGACCTGACGAGACGTTTATTCTTTGGACAAGCTGTACATTTAGGAGTATTTTTTCAGCATTTTACAACTAAAATGATGTTTTAAGAGCTTACATTCCAGATCTGGTTCTTTGCCGGTCAGGAATTGAACCATAGCCTGCAGCTGGGTCAGTTTGCGATGTGCAGGGTCAATGTCTGTCTCGCAGTAGGTCCTATATAACACAGTCATTTGAAGAATGGTAGAAAGATTAACAAAATCCTCTTGTGATATATTTGTTGGGCCTAAAACTGACAAATCCACAGTATACTCTGTAAGATAAACTCACCACTCATTTGCAATGGTCAGATCTGGAGTCAATAGGTCATGAAGACCTGGAGGGGGAAAATAAAGGAAAAGCATGAGCATGTCAGAATACAGGAGGATGAACAAACATCAATAGGAGTAAACTTACCCTCTTCAACAGAAACATTTCCTATGAAGATATACTCTCCATATCCTCTACTCAACACTATTCCCAGACTGTAACAGAAAAAGTTCGCAATAAAAACATCAGACTCCATCCTTATTACTGATAGAACAAATCTTAGCTATACAAAGTGTGTAAGGCTATATTAAGATTTTTTAATGGTATCTGTTTGAAGGCATTGCACCGATATTGCTCCCACAAGTGTAATGTTTTACATCAATTATTCAAAGCATGTTTCTTAATGATATAATGATATTCTATTAATCAAACCAAACAAACCTGAATGGTGTTTCATTAATGACAGTGTAGAAGTAATCATTCTTTAAGAACATCACTCTTCTCTGGAAGAGACAAAAAGCAGTTTTTATAAGAAATGGGTCACAAGGAGAAAGGAAAGGCCATTCCAACTAATGTGACAGGAAATGTTAAAAAACATACACATAGGGATGCACATGGAGTACACGAAAAGAGACAACAGAAGCACTCACTCCTTTGTCCACTGATGTTCTCACATCTAAAGACAGTGTTCCAGTTTCGCCTTTGACCATGGCTGTCCTCAGCTGCGAACACAGACAACATGCTGATCATGTGGCTTTTCTTTACACTGCAATCTACATCTTTCAACACAATGAGACAGCAAAAAGGGACAAAAAGATCCTTTAAAGGATAAACATGTGTGTGTGGCTCACTTTTTCCTCAGTATCTTCCCATTCAACCTCTGACAGATCAACACTGTTGTAGTTGGGTTTGGGCTTCAGTTTTTTCCCATCTTTATACTGTCACACACAAACAAAAACACAATTGATAGTTTTTGTCACATGTCTCTGAGCCAGGCTCATAAATCTGTACAGTCTCAGCTGCACTGCTCAACATAGGCAAGAGTCTTTACCAGAGGTCGGAGTTCAGGATGAGACAGGATATACCCATTATTGGTGATTAGGAAGGCATATCCTTGGATACCCAGCTAAAGGGACAGAGTACAGACAGTACAGTACAGTGAACTCATATTATCTGCGTAATGTCATTTCAGAATAATAAAATGAAAGCAATTATAAATGTCTAGCATGATGTGCTTCAGTCTCTTTTTCCTGTTATAGTGTGACAACTTCAAAAGCATTGCAACATGACATAGGACAGACAGCAAGTTAGGACAATGTGCCACTGTAAAACCTGCACAGCAACAGCATGAGACATGCAATCAAGAGCCCACAGCCTTCACCCGCTCTCTGAACTCTCCAGATCCCAATCCAATCAAGCAAACACAGATGTGCCTGAGCCAAAGGCCCCACCCCAGCTCACCCAGACAATCCTCTGTCATCCAGGAGACAGGAATCCTAGGACACCCCCAGGGGTCAGTGCCCCAACAGGGCAAAATCCTTTTTGATTAACATATTGTTGGACAGGTAATTCTAATGTCATGAGTGATCACTGCACACTGTAGATCTTCTACCTTGTATCTTGGTGCCAATCTCATTAGTTCTCTCAAGGCCACATCAGTTCCTACTACTCCCAGTAAAATCCCATGTGATAACTGGTGACAAAAGAGGAAAAAAGGTTAAAGCAACGGATTATATGAATTAAATTATAGCATATAAAAAATAAATATAATCATTTAATTCATTTGGACAATTCTGAGTAAAATCATATTATACAAAATATCTGCAAGCCATATTTACATTAAGATTAATTAAAAAAGGTATGAAAAAACGTGTTGCTAATGAAATGTTTATACTGGAGTTGGTCAGAGACCACACACAAATGCAACACAAATGCAGGGCTGCTGTTTGCGCCCTGGCATTCAGCCAGGGAGTCCAACATCCAAGATTTGAAATAGACATACAAATATTCATTAATCTGACATAAAAAGAAAAATTAGTTTTGAAAGGACATCTTAGTTTCATTATTTGACAGTCAGTATAGGAAATAGCAGTCAATCATTGATCTCTATTTTAATTTACATATTTTCTCATTGCCGTGTATTTCTGGACATAAAATTCCATGTTATAAAAGTGAGTCCCTCTACACAAACACACAGGTTGAGGTGTTGAACTTACAGTTTCTTCCTTCTTGCTGAACACAGGCATGGCTACAGAAGTCATCAGCAGCAGACTTTGTGCCTGCGTGTTGAACAGCTGTAACACAAGCACACTCACAAGCTAAACTTTCACTTCTCTTTCTTTTGTGGACTAAGCGTCCATTTAAAAAATAAAAAATATTCAAGGCAAGAGGAGTTTTACCAGGTTAAAATGAGCTCAAAATTTGTACAACTCCAAACAACAACAACAACAAAAATAAAATCAAAACAAAACGTTCATGAGAGGGAAAAGTAATGAGAACCTTTATAAATAACCAATTACAGTAACAGTTAATATTTGTGTTCAATTATTTAAAGCATCTGGCACTAATCTAAAAACTAATATCAACTAAACCTGACTAGGCCCATGTGGCTACTTAAGGACTGGGTTAACTTCAGCATTTAACAAAAATCTGAGATACCACAGGAGACATCTGCTAACTGTTCACAGAACTAAACATGAAGCAAGGCGTTGCTGCTACTTCATGAATGTGACAGTACATGACTATTATACTAATGTTTAAAACATGATTACCTCATCTTTGTTGGGGAGCTGAAGGTGAAGATGGAGGGGAGGAAAAACAAGCATGAAATGATGGGTAAACTATCGAATGAACGGAGCAGCAAGAAATGGCAGGTAAAGATGAATCTGTACAACTATTTTTTTTCTGTATTACTGGAAAAAATTGTGGGATAGACTCGTGGTCATTAATGTAAATTGATTCGGTTCAGCAACTGGCTTGTCCTACATGCATGTAAATTCACTCATCTACCAGCTCACATATCCAAAGAATCTGGAAGTGTAAAATATTTTCCTAAATCTCTTGTATGTTCATGTGTTAGAAGAGTGTACGGTAAAATGACACTCCAAATGACAGCAGTAAAAATGACTGCTGTCTTGCACTGCTGTAGAAAAATGCAATGTCCTTGTGTTTTATCCTTTTCAAACCGAAATGAAAAAAAAAGAATTTGACTGTTGACCCTAAATCTGTGTGAGATTAAATGCTTGAGGCTGAACAGTGTGCTTTCTGCGGGCTGGAGTTAAGTAAACTTACGAGTGGGAGGCTGTGAACATGCTTCCCATCTCCTTTTGTTTTTGTGAAATGGAGGGATCTGTTATTTCTTAACTATTTACTGTAGCATTACTTATGGAGAGAGTCACAGAGATGACAGACAGTTTTATTGTGAGGACGCTGGCTCCATTTGAACTGTTAAATGGGTGATGCTGAAGCAAGTAGACACAACCTGTGGCGGGACAAGCCAGCCTAAACATAAAAAATAAAAAAGACTGACCACACTGTCCATATAGGCCTCGGTCCATATTATGTCATGGTCATGGTTGATGACCATTGGGCGGCTGAGAACATGGAGGTATTCCATTACGTTTTCCTGGACATCAGCCAGTGTGGATACATGTGTGTAGTAACCTGCATGACACACATATTGTGGAGGAAACTGTTGGACCAATATATAACATAAATGTAGCAGTCAACAAATCATATCCAGCTTTCCATTTTTGAACACTACAAAAAAAAAGTTTATCACACACTAGAATATCTTTGATTAAAAAGAAACAGTCTGACATGTTTCCACAGGTATATTTTGACATTCTGTGATGCTTGACTTAGTCTAGGGTTTATGGCACTTTGACAAGTGGGAAACGGTGGCAACAATGTCTTGGTTGCACTAAAGCAGAAACACCAGGCTACTGAGGCGTTGCCAGGGACAAAAGTGATTACAAAGGAGCCCCTGATCAACACAAACATAACAGCTGCAAAGGATTCTTTTTACAGTTTAAGTGAAAATACAAAAAAAAGGTTTGAATGGCCTCAAATCTGCTTAAATGATTATAATCTGGTTCGAGTAGCTGCATACCACCATGCAATTCACAAGAGGGCAGCAACTGATACTCTGTTCAAAATGGGATCACTTCAGAGAATCTCTTATCCAACAATTAACATGCTAAACGACATTATTCAAATGAATTATTCCAGCAGTTTTTACATCCATAAAAGTTCTAAGAGACTCAGACCATCTCTATTGAAGTTTAAGAAATATAACAAAGACTAGCTTCTTTTCAAAGCATTCAAAACTGAAACAATTTTATTACCCTTGTTGTTGCAGGCAATCCACTTCACATTCTCAGCAAATGTCATTTCACGACCAATCAGATAGGTGAAAACTCTGACCTGCAGACATAAATGTTGTTTGTAATATCGCGATGAATAATACATTCACTTCCAAATGCAGACAGAAAAATATACATATGGTGGTTGTCCCATGTTTGTATTTTTGTGCGTAATACCCGCCGGTCTGGCCAATTAAACTCCTCAAAAACATCCTGGAAGTCTTCCATGGCACCGTCTGTGATCAGCATGATGGCCTGGTTACACAGGCTACCCTGCCCCAGTGCGGCAGCCTAAACCCACACACAAACAAAAATGATTTGACAACTGGTACCAACGAAACACATGATGACAATCTATGAATCTCAAATACCGAATTTACACAAAGCTGATCCCATTTTACATTTTAGCGTTCTGCAGCGTGAAGCCTAATGAATGACACACCTCATTTAGGATCTTAAAGGATTCCTTCATTGCATTTTTCACTTTGCCTTCTCCTTTTACATGAAGATTTTCCACCAAAAGCTTGAAATGCTGAGAAGACAAACACAAAATGAAGAGATGAAAGAACAGATTTAATCTATTGCATTCTTGGTCAAATTCAGATGAACTGGTCAGCAGGAAAACATGGGGCTAGAGGCATAAGGCAGACAACGTAGTGGAGGGATTATCCCTGGCCCTCTGGCACACTAACCAATAATACCAAAGTTACTACAACAGCAGGAGGTAATCAGGATTAATTAACAGATGCACGAAGACTCCCACACACACACACACACAAAAAAATGGCCAATGGCTGCCATGTTGTCGTCATTGTGTGGGAAAGAGTCAGATCTTGTCTTTGTGGAGCTCTTGCAATAGTAAAAATCTGTGAATCATCTAAGCTTTGATTGTTATTATTTTTTGGTGTTTAAACATTAAGGTACAATTCATTTGCACCCTAGGTCAAGACCTACGCTCCCTGGTACTTTTTCCAAACTGAACTGAAGTAGTGGAGAAACAGAGACCATGCGCACTTTGGTATACGTTGTAGCTTAGGCAAATTTGTTCTGACAATTCTCGCAGGACCTTTTACTCTGTGTGTGTTCCTGCTTGAGTTTATGCAAGCATGACAACATCTGTAAGCCCATTATTTTACGGACTGCCCCTCTATGCATTCAACAAATCAAATCCCAAGCTTACACGTCACATGACATACTTAAAATCGCTGACAACTGGCAAGCTCACCTTATCTGCCATGGGAAGTGAAAGTAGGGCATGATTCCAACAAGGACATGCACACACACACGTTAAGATTGAGTAGACTGAGCAGGTGTTGGGATATCTTTTTTTTTTCAAAAGAATAACAGGGGAATAGATGAAGACTGGAAAAAATAAAGTAATTTCATAAAAATAATTATATTATTTATAATACACATATATATTCACTGCCCAATGACACATTATTATTTATATTTTGTTATTATGATATAATGTGTCTAACTAAATGATGGTTCAATTTTAGGTTTCTTTTAAAAGTTGTATAGAAAATCATGACACTGTGCATCCATAGACAAACTATGACACAGTGTGTACACATGTACACCTTTTCAGGTTAACAGTTGCCTTCTATAAGTGCACAATTCTTAGAAATGTTGTCATAAATCTCTGCAAATGATTTTTTTATCATTCTAAATCTAAAATGCATGCTAAATGATCTAGACCAATCAACTAAAAAAAAGCTGGAAAAATCCTGATTAATTAACGGATGCTTTTTACTAAATTAATCTGCATTAATTAATGGATACTTTAAGACCCTTGCACTGTATTTGATATGAACACAATATTTCACTTCATCACCATTTAATTTAAGAGTTTCCCCCAAAGAAAAAAAAACACTTTGAAAAGTGAATTTTTAAAATAATCTACAGCATTTTATTGGTGATTACCTGTCCTAAATTTGTATATCTTTCATGTGACAATTCTAGAATCCAAATATGACAGATAGGAAGGATCGGTGGGGGATTTGCAGGAATGGGTCGGCAGAGGGTAATTGTATTAATTAGCTGCGAGTCCATGTGCATCTGCTTTTGGCGTGTGCGTGTTACCTCTCTGTTATCCAGATCAGCTTGCACCAGAATGCCCTTGAAGCAGGGCTCCACATAGCGAACATAGTCACTGTACTGCACCGGGAAGGAAAAGCATATGAGGCAGTTTAGCGAATGATAAGCACAATAAGATGTCAGCTGGATTATGGGGAAATAAATGTTGTTAATCAACCTGCTATTACAGTTCAGATCAATCTGTTCCGTACTTCTAAAAAATAAAAACTTATGGAAACTCTTTTGCCATCTTCTAAATAAATCAAACAATTTGAACCGTTTTCCTAGTGGACACTCAGCTGCGAAGAGCGTAGCTGTTGAAACAGCTTAAAGGCAGAGGATTTGGAGGAGACATATATAATTACACATATAGTAATACCAGGATAAAGCATTATTATCACAGATTTAGTTTTAACAGCTAAAACCAGCCAAAATCCTGAAAAAACTTGAATGAAAATTGATTCGTTGAAGCTTTGATAATACTGAATAGCAGTGATGTGAACGAAAGGTTTTGTTTCATTGTTTGCATGTTTGTCTCTATTCTAATTGCACATAGCACTTGTGTTTGTGTGTTAATCTCACATTCATTGAGACTTACAGAGTCAGAATGTTCATGTGTTATTGTTTGGATACTTACAGCTATAATGTTGACAAAGTCATTTTCTCCCAGTGTGTCCAGTATGGTATTAATTGTATGCTTGGCTATGGTCAGTCTGAGTCCCTTCATACTGCCACTGACATCCACCACAATTATCACGTCTTTAGGAGAAGTGGCCGCTTGGATGTACCTAAAAAAAAATGGATAAATACAAATGATTGATTAGTAGACGAGGGAAAGGCAAAGCAGACAGAGTTCAGCTTTATCCCTTTATTTGTTCCTCTCTTCTTCCGTTCATGCCCCTCATCATCTCTTTATCATCATCCCCTGATTTTCTAAGCCAATTAACATAAATGAGATTTGCCCGACAGAAGCTCTGATGGTAAGCTTTCCTGTTCTATAGTGCAGGCTACTTTTCTGCTTTCTGTCTGTCCAAACCCAAGAGGTTCTCTGCGGTACACTTTGAAAGCCTGTAACGGAACAAAACTTATTGCTCGAAATCCAAGCTCCAAATGCTCATTTTGCAGGGTTTATGTTTATGTGTTTATGTTTATGCATTTGGCAGACGCTTTTATCCAAAGCGACTTACAGAGTAGACACAATATTACATTTCTCATCACAATGACAATAAGCTATATAGAGGAGAAACACTGATCAGAGTCAGTGGTGAGATAGAGATAGAGGTAGAGGGACTACAGAAGGAGCTGTGGGGGGGTAGAGGTACGGGTTATGGTTAGGATAGGAGATGCTCTTTGAAGAGGTGGGTCTTCAAGAGTTTCTTGAAGACAGACAGGGACTCTGCTGTTCTTGTGGAGCTTGAGTAAAAAACAAATAACATATGGGAAGTGGAGGTGTGGAAGCTACTATTGCTTTTGGATAATGATGTAAGACGTCTCTACCAGCAGAGCCCGTGGCTGCAGAGTGTTTTTCTTTCTTCTTCTTTTATTTTTTATTTTTTGGCAGCATAGATTTGATTAGTTCTGACTGATGAAAATCGTGCTGTGTCACAGGATTTCTGTTGAGAAATCGCAGGCCAGATTTGGAGATCCCTGGTGTAGGCAGCAATAGTCAGAGAGACTTTCTCTCCCTGAACGCTCTGCTGCTGATTCAACATGATCAATTTGTCAAATGTTCGCTGATTAAGGCCGACCTGTGCCTACATGAGAAAACGAGATAAGCTGAAAAAGCCCGTGTTCATCCACAGCAACTCAGTGGTGTCTAATGGCTGCTGACAAGGAGTGCAAGGGGACCATAGCTTGGATTCAGAGTTTTTATGTTTAGGGAGTACATTTCACCTTGTGTGCAGAATTGGCTGGGATTTGCATTTCCAAATATCTTTAGGGAGCAAGGATTATTCAAACAAAAGTACAGAAATAGAACTGATGCTGGGAGGAATGTAGCCTTACCAGTTTCTGTTTCTGCAGTCAAAGGTGACCACACCATTTTCATCGGGAATCCACTGGATTCCTGTTTGGGGCGAAGGAAAAAAGATGCAATTTAAAGATCAATTCTGACTATTTGGACGAACAGAATGCTGTGCCACAAACTCTACAAACTGTTCCCCACTTTTACACACACACACGCACACACATGCACAGGAATTAATCTGCACTAACAGTCTCACTTGGACTGCATCAATACATTACAGAGGCTGCTTCTTGCACCGTCAGTGGCTGTGCTGTTTTTCTGCACCTCAGTCATCATGATGAAAATACCATCCTTTTGGAATCAATTAGGACTGTGTAATGAACACTTTTAAGTCTAAGCATTTAAGTGTACCTGGGTACAGCCTAAAGAAGCCAGTAGCACTGCCAAAGTACTGCCACGTAAGCGTTGGATCTTTACGGAAGTTGTCAATGAAAATATCATTCAGAGCTTCAGACATGTAGACTCCATTCAGAATATCTGGATCTGCAAAAGGAGAAGGCAGGAAAGTGTCTAGATATTCCATTAATGTCGTGAATTTATGTTACTTAGGCTTTAAGTGCATTACCTCGATTGTAAACATTCGTAGGAACTTGTATGTTGCTCAGCTGTGTGTTGACCGGCAGTTTGTTGAAATGTTCATTTCTTTCTAAAGGAAATTCTCCACCGAGCGGGATTGGGTTATCGTCTTCATCCACTGAGTTGATCAACAGGGAGTTAAAGTAGTCAAACTAGAAAGAAAAATGAAAGAATGGACAGTTACTTTATTGGCTGTATCGTTACGTTTTTATTATCATCATTATGTACACTATATTATTGTATAGTAGATATTTTAGAAATATTGATTCTGCTTTTTATGGCCCTTTTAGGTTTAGTGTGACTAAACTATGCCTCAATGTCATGTTAGCATTATGAATACCTCTGAAATCCTTGAAAAACAATATCTAGCATTAAATTACATACCTCGAGTGTTTCATTGTACTCGTGGTGTAAATCAGCGTCCTCTGCTGCTTCTGCTAACTTCTGCAACAAAACACACAGTGTCAAAGGCACTGGTAGAGTTATCAGCATCACCTGGCCTGAAAAAAAGCCCAAACCTTCCTGTTTGCCGTTCCAGTAACAGTCTTACCTTCACAGATTTCATCTTCCTCCCGAGCATCTCCTCCATTTCCTCAGCAAACTTCTTCACCAACTCCTCACCATCCACCTCCTCCATTTTCACCACACCTTCAATATCTTTGAATTTCTTTAAAGGAGAGACAGAATTTCTCTCATTAGCGACTTTTCCTTAAAATACACCCACCGTTGTCTGGGTTTTGTTCTGTCAAACGTTTTGTTCTCTCCCATTTTAGTAATTTCTAGACTTAGATTCTCTAGCTATTATGCTAATCTTTCTTACATTAGCCACCCTTGTTTGCCTCACACCTGATTAGCATTTAGCTAATTAACCCCCTTTTCCGGTTCTACAGTCCTCCTGGCTGTAATTAGTCAACATTCAGTGGCACTCACAGCAGTGTTGAAGATTGCAGAATTCTTGTTAATGATAAAAAAAGCCATCTCCACTTCAAGCTAAGTAAACAGTACACCATGAATTGGCCATGCCATAATCTAAAAATGCTGTGTAATACACTTATGATTCTTCTGTATTTCAAAGGATTTTCTCATAATGTAGGAACTTCATGGCCATTGACTGGAGTAGTTACCCCTCTCTCAAAACAAAATGTAATCAATCTAACCAATCAAAGGGAAGTTTAGTTTGTCCTATGGCCAAAGTGAAGACTTATTAAACATATTGATTTTACACATGAACCTGACACTATTTCCTTGCCTGCCTGACGGGAAAATAATAATTCTAGCAAATCTTTGAAAGTACCCAAAAGATTTAAAATCCTTACTTTGACAAATGATTTCTGTAAGGCTCACAGAGGAGCCTAACAGATATAAATGAGGGTCAGGATTATAAAGAGCTCTTTGTAGCCTACAGCAAATAACAATAAAGCCTCATTCATATCAAAAGCAAAGCAGTGACATCTTTTATGATCATATGATCAAAGAGGACGTCAGACTCTGGATATCATAACCAGACTACTTAGACAAGACAAAAGAGTAGCAAAACGTCCCACAGACAACTAGGAAACCCCTGATCAGACAGCGGTGGGCGATGAATGGCTTGTTGTCATATAGATTAAACGTGCACTGGGTGCTGTTGGCTTTATGGAAAACTGGGACACTGTTTAACATTTGTGTTCAAGGAGAATATTTAATGCTTGAAAATCTCAAAGAGGTCAGACCTTTGCAAAGCCAGTTTAGTTTATGATTTATAGTACAACAGAGAGATGTGATATGTGTCTGGGAAGACCCAGATTGAGCGCGGCAGATGGTGAATGGGCCTGCGAGGGACTCTACAGGGTGGCATGCAGAAGAAGATTGCATGTACTAATTACTAAAAGACATATCTGAATTGAATTTGGGTTAAGTGTATCACCAGATTGGTCTGTGGGCTTTGTACAGATGTTGTACAGAAAATATATGCCAGACACCAGTGATTCTATTGGGTAATGTAACACAGTGAAGGAGGGTAGGAGAGGCCGGGGAATCCAGACTCAGAGTATTTCAGCTTGACGTGTACATGTTATTAGTACTAAATCCAACTGGGTATGTAAAGTAGGATTGTCTGTCTGCATGCAACTCTGACCAATTTTTACAGTTTGATTCTTGAAATAACACTCTCTATAACTGTGTTCTAACAGCTCTTTAAACTTAGATTAAAAAAAAGCTAAATAAATTCATTGAAGATGCAAACTGGGAGCAGAACCCTTTGAAAATGGCAATGGTTTGTGTAAGTTTTACGTTTTTTTTTATTGCATTGGTGTCTTACCTTCTGTAAAAGTTTAGCTCCAGAGAATCTGGTGGACAGAGATACTAACTCTTTTCCAAAAGACATGGCCCACTGCTGCACACTGGATAAAGAGAAAATCTGGTCAGTGACATACTCAAATCTATCAATGTTGTATGAAGGAAATGATATAGTGCTGGCAATATCATCCTCCACTTACAGTACAATACTAAATATAAAACACAGGAATATACTAAATGAGTTGGTCCCAAAAAAATAAAAAATGTGATTATTTAAACTTTTCACTGACATAAGCAATGAAGATTTATGAATAATTGTCAAGAACCAAACTCATCTCATCCAATAAAGGGCTCCTGAATATCAACAAAAGTGAGCAAATCCACTGACTATGAGCATATCTTAAATAAAAAATACACATCACATTTTATTGAAAGTGACAATTGATGTACACATCAATCACGATAAGAGGTTTCTCTAAATTCGACAATAACAGATTAAAATAGATTACTTTGAAGGTGACAGGGGAAGCAGACTGTCCGCCGGGTCAAAGGTTTACTCTGCTCAGAAACATGCAGTAATTCTACAAATCCTCCATGTGAATACAGTTTAGGTAAGGAAACAGAATACAGGATGTGACAGATGGCCTAACCTATGGGGAGTCAGCTTACTGTTAGAGAGCAGGATAGGACTCAACAGCCATCTTGACAGCCTCAGTTCTGAAGAAAGGCTGATCATTTGTTAACTTGTTGATATATTTAGTGTAAAACATAAATGTATTCATTGTAAAGTGGGAGTCTTTATAAAGTTAATGACAACCATCTTGACTGGAACAGAGATATTTCTTAATGCGATGAAGACCCTGGACTAATGACTATAATAATTACATCATTGTTATTATTATTGTTAACATTGTTATTACTATTGAACACAGTGACATTGATTGATTTCACTGTCAAATTTCAATCTGAAGTAATTTGTTCACAGATAACGACAGACAGTCATGTGATAAACAAAGAAAATCCACCTTTACTGGTTCCACAGGAATTAAGTGGATCAGTAGCAGCTAGGTGCTGCTGGTCAAATGCATGTTTAACTGACCATCAAGTGTAAATCTTTGCTTGTCTGAAGCATTCAAGTATGTGTTCCAAAAGCATAAACACTTCATCGCATGTGAAGGCTAACAATTTTGATTCCATCATTTAACATTGACAAAAATCATTCTAGACTGTTCACTACTTTTGCAGCTGGATGTACCATCTCCATTTTTACTAAAGTAATGTAAAAGACTTTACAATATATTTCCATGAGCAGCCATCTGCCATCATCAGTGAAGATGCACACCAAAGCTGCCGTACAGGAGGTCACATCTTATTGAGATCCACCAAAACCAAACCTTTTATTCGATCATGTTGTAGCAACTAGTGAGCGTGTGACACTGCAGTGAGCAAAACCTTTTGTTGTTCTCGGATGTGGAAACACACAAAAAGCACAGCCTTCTTCACACAAGAGGGAGGAGTTTTCAAGTAGGAAGGATATTTTACATTTGTGACTTTAATATGTGGGCATTATATCAGATAAATCTTCCTTTTATTGACCAGTTCCATGAAACCTTGTGGGCACAGGAAGATTATGCAACTGCAACACAGAGACGTCCCAGCTCAGATGGGACTCTTTAAGCATCTCGCTACAAGGTGACACTGACCGCCACACCACTGCCAGGTGTGGATTATCACTGATCTGCAGCGTATGACGTTTGCCGCAGACTAAAGAATTGACCCTCAAGAACTAAAATGTTCCGATCGTGGCATTGTCAACCTCCAGGGTCACAACGGCCTCTGTACCAAATCTTCCAGACACGCAGACTAATGCATTTTGTGCTCAGTGACCAGTGACGGCCAGCTTAACTTTGCTGTGTCAGTCGCACTAACCAACCCACAGCCATCTTGCACGCACGGTGGGGTTTGAAAGACTTCATTAGAAATCCACTGGGAAAAGTTAAAAACTGAAATGTAGACACTGACTAAACAGACTGGACCTTGATGAAATAGGTTGCTCTGACTATTCTATTTCTATTTGTAAATATGTATTTTACTACTGTATCAAGAGCATGACATTGACGTTTTTTATATGCATTGAATTACTTTAAATTATTTTGATCTCACTCTCCAAAACACACACACAGGTGTTAATAGGCCAAACCCGACTGACAGCGCTGTATTGACATGTTGGTGTTTTTGGCAGCAGGACAATCGAAAGCCGTTGAAGCGAAAAAGCTTCTTCTGGCTTGTGGTGTGTAAACAGATATAGCTTCTCATTCCCCAAACCAGTCAATGTCAGAAAACTGACCACTTATATTTGATGGAAACTCTGGAGCGCAAATCCAGCATGAGTTATCGACCCATTTTTGTTTTTGTATGTTGTCGAGGCAAAACTAGTCTTGACAACCTTTTTAAACATTGTGTGAATCACATATCTATATATACAGACCACTCTCTGACTTCTTAACAGTATAGATGGATAATATATAAATTACATATTTGAAAATATTCCGAGGGAGAAATAGGAAGAGTTTATATTTGAACTCTAATTCTTTTCAGTCCGCTTTGCATTTCAGTGTTCAAAATAGACTTTCTGTCACTATACAGAAGGGAAGGAAAAATATTTGTCCACCATTTCTGCAAATTCAGCACTTTCTCAGTACAAAGTTTGTTAAAAGCAATTCTGTTATTTGAACTTCCAGTTGAGTCCCGCCTGTGATGAAGGAGGGATCTACGCGCATCTATTTACTTTGTGAGCTACGTATCTGTGTTGGTCTGTGCCAGCAGAAGTGACGGTTTGGCAGTCGTCTGGACCCCACAGGTGACCAGATGGCCCATATGTATCTTGAGTAATCAGCCAAAGGAGAATGAACATTCACACATATTGAGTCAACCATCTGATGTATGGCTTAAAGAAGGTTCAAACAGCTTGTGAAGTTACGGGGGTGCACATGCAAAAATGACCAGAAAGGGCTGTAATTGTCACAGAGCAATAGGTTGGTGGTAATCGTGTCTTTATATGCTGACGTACGGCAGCATTTCGACACTCAACGTGAGAAGAAAAAAATCTCAGTGCTTTCTACGTAGGCTACGTACATCTCTACAATGACAATAGATGTTAAACTTTGTATATTCGTCTTGACAAGACACGTCAAACCGTCAGAAAAGTACTCACATTTCTGGTGAAATCTTCATCTGGGCGTCAACCATCAGGCACAGTGAGCTGGAGAGGATAATCCACATCAGCATCATCTGCCTCCTTCTGTGTGGCCCACTTCTTTCGGATTTACTGGCATTCCCAAAGATTCCCGCACCCCAGCGGCTCATCCCTGCAGCTGCGGTGATCTGGATCAGTCCAGCAGGCGCTGCAAACTAGCTCTGAGAAAGAGTGGCGAGGTTAGGATAACTTGTAGTGAAAATGAAACGTTGTCAGGCCACAAAGCGGGTGCACAGAGAGGGAAAGGGTAAGATGTTACAAGTCTTTGTAAATGCTGCACAAGCACTTCAGCATGAGAGACCGAATGGTTATCAACGTGCCTACAGGCATAAGCGACCGGTTTTGTTTATGAAAAAGCTCATTCATGTCAGCCCTGACTTTGCAAATTCTGTCTTTAACTTTCTTCTTTTATTTAGATGTGGAACACCGTGAAAAAAAAATATTTGCATACTACTTCCAAGCAGATTTTTGTCAGAACTTTCTATGTTACTTGAGCAGCAGAGGGGCAGGGGCATTCATATTTTTCTATTTAACGTAACCATCAGGTCCTTTAGCTGTCTGCTGGGTCACACGCTGCTAACTGACTGCTCCGGTTGGTGCTTTGCTACAGTCACTTTTTGGAGCATGAGAAACATTGTTAACATTCTAAGTGGGAATGTTACATCAATATTGATTTCAAGGCAAAGCTAAAACACCTGCAAATACTAAACTCACCAAAGCCTAATAGGAAAAAAGGAGAAGACATTGTGGCAACCTGGCAGGCAGAGTAAAAAGTTATTTTTTTAAAAATCCATAGTGTTCTTATCCCTGAATGAGCTAAACTAAACTACATCAGTGACTGTCTAAACTCTGCTCAGGGAAAACAAAGGAACCTGAACACAGAACAACAGATGTCAACTGAAAACAGGTCACTGAATTAAGACTGTAATTGGACTTCAGGAATGATACTGAGTAAACGCAGCCTTTAAGTGGAAATACTTAAGGGATTTCTGTCTTGTGGAACAAAGACAAGAAAGAAACAATCTAACGAGCAAAACTTCAGGATGGTACATCTACATAAGGATGATAATTTAGGTGCTTCCTGAGTCCCCACCGACAGTACTCACATCATCATGCTGTCAAAGCCTCACAGTGGCCAGCGAGTCTCGTAGAAAGGTTCAGATTTAACCAGCGCAGACTGAGGATATCGGATTGAGTGGTCTGATGTCAGCTGAGCTGCTTGTCCCGGAAAACAAAAGAGTCAAGAAAGTTTTTGGCTCCAGTGTCAAAGGTCACTTCTGCACACAGTTGGCCGCCGTGGAGTCTCGCCATGCTCCTACACCTCCCGCTCCAGGGCTCCTATCGGGATTTCCATCACACACTTCTGTCTTCCACGCTTCCTCTCTTGGAACCAGGAGGAAAATTCAGACTTTGTCTGACTTTGTCCCAGTAAACTTCATCCTTCGCACATAGTCGCTCATTTACAGGAATATCCCCATATGGTAAACACGCAGTTTCAGGCTTTTCCTCGGTTCCGACGGCTGACCTCACCTCTACATGGGTTCACACCGGGGTGCCAAAGGGGGGAGAGCTGAGTAAGGAGCAAGATGGAGGAGCTGATGCCAGGATGGCTGGATGGATAGTAGGACTTCCTTTCTCTCCAGAGTATCGCTTCCCTCTCTACAGCACCAGTTTATACCATAATCCAGGCAGGATTAAACCCCTCCTCCCTCCATCCCTTACGCACACATGTACACAATCTCTCTCCCTTGCCTTTATCTTCTCTCTATCGCTCTTTGACCCGTTGCCTTTCACCCTTTGCTTTTTTTTTCTCGCCCTCGTTTTTCTCCCATCTTTTTTTTTTCCATTTTATTTCTCCACTCTTTTCCCAAATACTCGTCTGTCTCTGGAAATGCTCTTGTTTACTTCTGTTTTTTTATACCAAGAACAGTAAAGGGAAATTATGTAGATAATGATGAGGTAATGATTGAATGAAACAATATTTGAAAGAGCAACAGAACAAGATATTTACAAAAGGGGTGAGTGTCACATTTCTAGGGAGCTGTGTTATGTTAGAAGACCAACATACTGAGACACCTAGTGGATTCTCAATGACACATGTACATAGGACACATGTACACTGCAACCCGACCTATCTGTTCTCTATAAGGGACCACTTTTGCAGTGATTTGAACGTTGCTTTTATCTCTAGTTTAATCTCTAGTTCTTCTTGTCTTCTGCTCTCTCGTAACTCCTTCTCTTTTTCAAAGTACATACAAAGTGAAAATACTTCTTATGGCAATTTTCCCTGCATCTGAATTCACAAGATGAGAGATAAATATTGGATTATTTAGAAATAGTAGATTTTTCTTCTGTTTTTTATTTTGTTTAATTTTGGATGTTTCCTTTTGAAATTTAAGAGATGAATGAGCAGTATCATTATAACGGGCCTTTTCGTGTTGGAGGATAAATGCATATTTCCTTCTGGCTGTGTCCCATTATTCCATTTTGTTCGAACCCACTGACTTTACTTATCAACATAGACAACAGCCTCTTAATTGTTACTTTTCGTTTAATTAAATCTATTATCTCAAATACCGATGAGTTATGCAGAGATGCGTGTATTCAGAGTATAAAAGCACGATATGCAAATCTGCTGATGTACAGTTGTTAAATAGTCATTTGGAGGAACATTTCTCCACAATGTTCTCTTTATTGTCAGTAATACCATATTATAAATATAGTAATGACCAAAACCACCATAAAAACTTATGATTTTACTTTTATGCTTAATCATTTTGATGGGATTTGTCCGGTATAGTTGGGTCCCTTATGCCCTCAGAGTAAAGCTATATTTAACTAAAAACCAGGGGGAAAAAACACTTTATATACATCACACACAACAATAAATGCTGTGGGATGAGTGCATCTAACATGCTCCAGTACAAGCACTTACACACACACACACATGCAGAGTAAAACATCTGCTCATGCTGTTACGGAAATGAAAATACAATAAAACAATCTGGCAATCCACATAGAGCAGTGATGCTGCAGTGAATGCACAGAGGGATCATATGGCACCGTGGGGTCTAATGGCCCAGCTGAGATACTGACGGTGCGCGCAGTCACACACAGCTGCACGCAAACAGACGAGTGAACAACTGAAATAAATCCATGTTCATACACCAACAGTAGGACTCCCCCACTGACCCATTTCACAAGTGACATGGATCAAGTCTTTGACCTTCTCCCACAAACATGGTGAAACATCTGCTTAATTTGATAAGAGTTAAAAGGGAAAAGGATCAAAAGATTTCACACACTTTGGTCCAACTGAACTAATTTCCAACTGAACCGACCTGTCAGCGAAATGTCAAATATTTCTCTCAGAGTAACTTCTAAATGTGTGGAGTTTTGTCTATAAAACTCAATACAAGTCCCCAAGTCTTATTCAAGTGGTACAGGCAGTACTTTGGGTTTTCGAGTACTTTTTCTGGAAAATGCATAATTAGATATACAACGGCCAACAAAAAGTACTTAATTCACAGAACAATTGAGTGTGTCGTGTTTCTTACCCGTGTCTCTGGAGAGCTCAATTATAATTCCGGCTTGGCTGCTCCACTGTTTGTTTCTGATCCGAAGGTTAAAACTAATTTCTCAAAAGCTGGGATTAATGCTTAAAACATGGGCGACTGCACGTCATCTTCCATCTGAGAATACAGTAGTAGCAAATGTGGGTTGGAGCCCGCCTCTTTGGCCAAGGGCACACACACATACACACACACACACAACAGAGGCCATTGATTAGTCTAAGCCCGAGCTAATAGTCAGCCTTTACTTTTAGCTCCATCAGCTAAACCAATGGTCTGAAACCTCCAAGTCTCAGAGCAAAAGATGTGTGTGTGTGACACCCAAAAGCAAAAAAACGTGGAGAAGACAGCACTTCAGACTTGTTGTTTTCCATCATTTCTTTGTTTAAGAATTAGTTTGGTCTGGGTCTGAACTCTTCTGGTTGCTGTGGAGAAGAGAAGGGGCCGGTGTTGATGCTGATGTTAATTACAGTGTGTGACACCACTGTGTTCGCAGAGGAGAGGAAGCAGGAAGGAAGGGAGAGAAGGAGAGGCAGCCCAATTCCCCCAGTGTTGAAAACGTTACAAAGCTGAAGACTGGATCGCCTCTGATGCATTTCCTGTGTGTTTGGGTTCCGAGCGGCTCTAAGCGCCCACTAAGAGCCCTGATTATTTCAACTGGTGTTAATGGAGTGAAATGGGGATTTGAAACAGACACAACAGTCAAATAATGAGAAAGCTGGAGATGGAGATAAACAAAAATATAATTATACTTTTTTTTTCTTGGAGTTGGGCTGTGAAAACAGTCAGTGAATTACATAGAAGGCCTGAACTTGTAGTACATAGAAGATGTTATTTTCCCTATAATGTTTTTCCATTTTTTGTACATTATGGGTGGGGTTGCATGGTACACAATCTCTTTCACAGGAGATCCAGCTCGAGCTCATTTGCTACCTGGTGGCTTGTTTGACATGTTTCAGGAACAGAAAACTGCATTCCACTCACCTACGTGGTTTTACACTTCTTCAAATGGATCGTTTTTGATGAATGGAAAAAACATCGGCTTAAATCTTCATCCTTCAGTGGTTCCAACAGCACAAAGTTGTAAGATATCATCACAAGCAACACAAGTCAGCTATAAATTCCAATGAATACTTTTGGGTCAGCTAGCGCCTTACTGACTTGGACTGTGTGCCGACTGTGAAAAAGAAAGGAAGCAATCTCACACAGGACAGGAAAAACCAAACCTGCATTAGGAATTAGTAAAACACAGCTTTGTGTTGGTACTGGGTGCGTAGAGGGCGCCGATTAATTACTGTGGACATTATGTTACAGTACTGACTGCGGAAACAGAAGGCAGTAGAGTGACATTAAAGCAACAATGAGAGCACATTAGCTGAACATTTGGTGTCATCAAACTGAGGAGATAATAATAATCAGTCATCCACTCATCCAAAGACATAAAAGACAACAATAATAAATGTGGTTTGACAACATTTAATATTCAATTAAAATATACATTCCAGACAAAAAAGAAAGCAAACATGGGTAGAAATGTATGTTATAACATCATAAAGGTTAACAGAAAATTGTTTAGATGAATTTGTCTGAAACAATAGAAACAGATGTGACAAATAACTTAAAATGATGACGTGTATTTAAATTATTAATGAATTGTAACATGCTGGTCATTTGTATAATCAGAGATAAAACATTTTTCATTTTTAGTACAAAAATAGAAAAAAAAGATATATTTTTCTTTCATTAAACATATTCTCTGTTGTTGCGGATGCTGCTATCATACAGATGAACTGCAGGAGTCATCTGACTTCTGAATAACAAACTGAATGGTACTCAAAGAGTAAATTACATTTAATACAGTAGAGCAACAGTTTAACTCCTTTGAAAATAATTTGAAATAAAAAATGTTAGCCTATCCTGAGAGCTTTATTTATTATTATAAGATATGTTAAACACCTAGTTTGTTCTGTGTAATTTTCCAAAAATGAACCATTAATTAACCATCATTTCTGACTGTTAAAGGGATCAAAACAAAACAATTTTTTGTCCCATAAGGATCATTTTCTGCATGCTGTCCTATGAAGACAACCTCTCAAACTTAAGTGGTTTGATGGGTACTAATTTGTTTTAAAATGTAACTGTAAAAATGAAATCATTTTGAAAAACTAAAAACAAAAATATGGTTTCGGCTTTCCATTTTTAAAACACCAAATCAGCTCTGAGGTAGTGGCGGTCGACATTTTCCTGCATTTTCCTCAACTTTTTTGCTGGAATAATCCTAATTTAATTGTTTCTCTTCACCAAAATTCAATGAGTAAAACCAACAAAGCACCCCTTTCATTACAATGAGCAGTAAAACCCCTCACCTATGGAACTGTAAGGTGATGCACATTAAAAGCAAAAAAAAATAGCATCTTGCTGCTGTCTCATTTGTCCTCTTTAATGACATGCACCATCCACCCTCATAAAGGACATATGTATGTAACAATATGTAGCCAATAGACCAAAAACATGTAAGAAAAGCTGACTTAAATGATCATAATGTGAAAAAACTGAAAATATATAAATCATGTCTGAAAATGTGCTTTAGAGAGTTTTCAGACTAGAGCTGAATAGTTTTTAAGGTCAGAGTGTTGGCTAGCGCTAGAAGGGAGTGGAAATAAACTATGATAAAACAAAAGATTGCTGTACTTGAAGTGAAGACAATGTGATGGTTACCATTTCAAACATGTTGGGGGTGGGAGGGAAACAACGGTAAAGCATGTTTTGTCCTTGGCCTCCATCTTTCTCTAAACAACACATGAGCTAAGTGTGGGTTAATGGCGCAGAGGAAAAAGAGTTGTCCGGGATTGGAAGTGGAGGGCTAACATCGGGATTTCTCGCCTTTGGACAGAGTGTGCAGAAACACAGCCTTCAGTACTTGCTGCTGGAGTCTTTAGCAAAGCGGCTGACGTATGCATCATAGATGGAGTCCAGGAAGGAGCTGTCACTCTGAAACACAAGCAAGCAACTTAGCACTGGAGGCTTTTCCTTAGGCGTTTTTGTGCGGGAGCACTCTGCTTTCCAAACAGACACTTCCTTCATTTTACCTGAATCAGATGCAGAAGTGTGGCTTGAAGCTGGCTTCTGGAGAGGACTCCGACCTCATTCTGGAGCGATGGTTGGGAAAGGGCTGCGGGGGCAGGGCAGCTGTCCCGAGCAGCTCCCGGTAGCCCACTGCTGGGCTTCGTCTGTGTGAACACACTGGGAGAAAGCAGCATGGTGGGGGCAACGGTAGCTGGGATCCGCTGGGGAGAGATTACCTGCACAGAAAAGGGAAAGTTCCCGGGACATAGCGTTTGGAGGTTAGCTGCTAGTTCTGTACCCACTGTTTAGCCTTTAGCATTTCCACAGCCCAACTCTAATCACCTGAAGCTGAAGGGCAGCTTTTTGACCCGCAGCGCTTGAGTTCAGGTTTGAGACCGTGCCTAGAGATGTGCTTTCCTCCTGATTTTGGGTGGGCCCCAGGAATCGAGGCGCCAGGCCTGGATGGGGGCGAGGGGGCTCGTGGGATGTCAGGCATTGTTCCTGCTGGACCAGCTGAAGCTTCTGTAGCAGTTCATGAGGTGATACCACACCCTGCATCTGCGCAGAGAGACCTGACACAACAGAGAGGAGCATGAAAAGAGCACCTGGTCTCTGGGGGGCTATGACCCCAAACTACGTCCCTTTACAGCAGTGTTTAGAAAAAAGAGCAAATTAAAAAAAGACTCAGTATTGTCTTAGTTCAGTACTTCTTTAAGTTTTTTTATGTGTTTGAACGTTTTATGTAACATGGCAACATTTCAGGGGCTGTGAATCATCTTAAGTCAATAACTGTTGACATTTTCTCACATCCATTTAAGTTTAATGGTGATATGGAAGGAGTTTGTGTAATGGGAAGTGTGATGAAACACACCTTGTAGAGGCAGAATGCCTTGGTCCTTGGCCAACTGAGATGGCAGCAAACCTGTTGAAGCAATAAAAACTTTACAGAATAATTTTACACTCATCTTTTCATATATATTCAAATGTTTCCATCTAAGAAATGTGAAATGTTTGTTTTTCATGGATGTTTTTTGCTGTCCCACCTGTGGGCAGTGCTGCTGAAGCTGCCTGGCTGTGCAGAGCTTCTGTCTGAGACTTAAAAAGGTTAAAAAACAGCTGCTGGTTCTGTTGCACTTGAAGGTGGGAGCAGGGCACAGGATCCACTAGTACGGGCTTGGAGGAAAGGTGAGGGTTGGAAGAGCAGGGTGGAGCAGAGAAGGACGTGGCCAGCTGGGGGGGCGCGTGGCTCTGCAGAAGCCTCTTTATTGGGTCCGGCTGGTGCTGGTGGTGCTGGTGTTGCTGGTGGTGCTGGTGCTGGTGCTGCTGGTGCAGCTGGTGGTGTTGCTGGTGCTGGTGGTATAGATGGTGATGGTGGTGGTGATGTTCAAGTGGGAGACCATTGTCACAAAGTCGGTTCTCGGGGGACTCGGGCAGGGTCTGGAGTGTTCCCCCCACCCCCTTCTGTCCCTGCATGAGCTTGGCGATGGCCGGGCAGTGCTGTGGCTGGTTGGGAAGCCCCTGACCGCCGGGGCTGGAACCCTGCAGAACGACCACGACATTTGTGCCCTCTCCCTCCGCCACAGCTCTGACACGGCCGTCTGCACCCCCAGCGAGGGGCACGCTCCTTCCGGTGGGGGGGGCGCTTCTGCTGGAGTTCACGGCATCGTCATAGGTCAGCGTGCGGGCCACAGGGGGGCGAGCCACTTTCCCCATGGATGTGGGAGAAACCACAAAAGGAACGGGGTTAGAGGTGTGCTGATGCTGAGGGCCAAACAGAGACGCCAAAGAGAGAGCCTTAGGCTTCATGCCCTCACCGTCCTGGATGAGCACAAAAGACAAAGAGCACACGCAAATGAGACAACAACCAACCAAACAGTACTAAAATAGCTGTTTGTATTTTTTATCTGATATTTAAACACCTTAGAATACAAGCTACAGAGGACTAGGTATGTGAAAAAATAGATGTTTTACCTGAGAGTTTGGTTTAACTGGAATTGGTTTGATCAGGTTTGGATTTCCACACAGAACACTGCTGCCACCAATCTCTTTTGGCTCTGAAATCGACTTTTCCTGAGAGACATAAAAGGCAGAAAATAAATCTTGAAAAGATTTAGGAAGATGGAGAGCTAGCCCATATGAAAAAAAACTGAAAAATAAAAATGACATCTAGAAAAATCCATGAATTAATGATCACTTTGGGGTTCCTGTACCTTGTCATACACTGTGCGTGCTTTGGTCAACATCTGGAGAATGTCCACTCCCTTTGTTTCACTATTTAATCTTCCTCTATCTCCAGCAGCTTCTACTCCAACTCTGCCCGGGGACAACCAGCCACCCTGGGACTGAGCAAGGATCTGCTCCTGCTGTGTCAGACTGCACAAAAAAAGGAAACAAATAAAAAATGTGTTGCTTTAATAGTGTACTTATTTTTTTCTGTTATTATCATTTTTTTGTTTTACCACTAACTCATATAATTACTTACGTCCTCATCTTCTGGGCGACGCGCTGACAGTCCTGTTTATCATAGAACCAGATACCATGGATAACCACTGGAAGAGGCAGAGAGAAAAGACTTGAGACTCTGGGCTTTTGAATACACTGCACATTAATAAAGAAAACAACAACATGATGCTGTGGTGTGCGATAATGACCAGATGACCACTCAGGTCACCAGACAACTAAATGAGGATATTAACCTGCCATGTGCTCACAATCGGATGAAAGCGCAGACATGCAGTAGCTCAGTTTTGCTGCTATGACATCAGACCAGTCAACTGATCTGTAATTATTAGTCTTGCTGGGTCAAAACCTGAGGTTTAAAATGAGTCATTTCCCAACCAAAGCACTGAGACCAGAAGCCAGCAGAACATTACTCAGTGAAAAATAGCTCCCAGGAGTCTGCTGAACTGCAGAAATAGGATTAGAAAGGGAGGAAAAAGACGCTTAAATAGTTCTGTCACAGGGTTAGACAGCAGTTAGTAGGTTTGTTCCACTACATTACACAGTGAGTTTTACTATTTCCATGTTGATTATTAGCATCTGCACACTGAGAGAGCACTCCTGCACGATGATATATTTCCAGTCAACAGGGAAAAGATGTCACATTTTATGTTCATATGACAAATGAATAAAAAATTAAAGGAGACATATTACGCTCTTATTAGCCGTTGACACAGTTTCCTGCTGGTTTTAATGAAATGTCAGTGACATACTTTGGTTTAAATGTAACAGAGATTAAAGAGTACTGGAGCTCCTTATTTTTTAAATAATAGGTTCATGGCTTTTTTTAGATCAGCATAGGTGGTCAAAGACTGAGAAGTGTGGTAAATATGTGCAAGCTCTGAGCTTATACCACACCCCATTAATCTGTGCTTTAGGTTTTAGAGGCCAACACTAACAACTGCCTCTTATTTACCAAAACAAAAATTTTGTTAGCAAATTACTGCACAGTGCTGTGTGCAGTGATAAATATGAAGTCAGAATTTACAGCGTCTGATTGAGCTGGAAACATACAAACATACACAAAATGAGCATTATTTGTGTATGTTTTTCTAGTGGTAGACAAACAAATATATGCTCTACAATGTATACAAAAAGGGATTTGTTTAATATTTTAGGCTTACTACATGTCTAAATGTTAAGAAAATGAGATCCAAAGCTTGAGTAAAATTTGGAGTTAGAAAAAACATTTTTGGAACCAACATTGACTACAAGTAACATTTAAGAGTCACTGAAACTCAGTGTTGTGTATAATTCAGGACTAACACACCTGACGACTTAAAACAGCCACTGGAAATTAATCTTGAGAAAGGCAAAAGTTCCCAAAAGGGCAAAAATTGTAAAGTGTTGAAAACAGGACGTATAAATAGAAGCATATATAAACAGTGAGTAACAAAGACAAAAAGTTGGTAGGACACTAAGTGGTTGATATCGTGACCACACATTCCCACACAGACGGATAGACCACAGAGGTCACTGTGGATGAGGGGAACGGACGGGAAGGGGGGGGGGGGGGGCACAGACACAGAGTTAAGTTCGGCCTGGGAAAATCTGCCCTGGACCAAATAAGTAACTACAGTGGGAGACTGGCTGGTGGAGCCAGAGCCACTTAGCGCTCAGTGGAGATGAGACTGTTTGACAGAAACAAAGCGACACAAGCACGGTCCACGCTAGAGAGCTGGAAAATTTTAGAAAAATGGGCAAAAAGAACAGAAGAAGTGAGATGTGTGAGGTCAACAAATAGCTTGAAAAGTTCTTCAGCTGTCAGGAAATACTGGACAGACTGAGCTTTGCTAATAAGGAACAAATATCCAGCTGAAAAGACAGAAACAACTAGACAAGACTTTTGTGACATTTTCCCTGACCGCTCCATCTCAGCCGCAGCCAAAGAGAAACACAGAAGATGAAAGAAAAGTGGACATGGCAAAAAACAAAGGCGTGCGATAGGCGATAAAAGATTACCACAGTTTGGGTTAGTTCTGCTGACTCCTGAAGAGCAGAAATGGTCCTTTTCATCCAGACAAGAGGGGAGAGAAAGAAGGAGAATTACAGAGGGAAGGTGGGAGGAGGGCTACCACCAGTAGCACCACCACCATAGGCAGCACATAAGAGAAAAGAGGGGGAGCTCCAGAGTGGCCACTGGACACTGACTGAGAGGAGCAATGAGCCAGAGGGACATTTGAAATTGGATTCGACTCATTGGTTGTATGGAAATGCAACTTCAGGAGGAGAATTTAGCCTCAGGACGGCTCCAAAGACGGCTGATTACTTCGAAACCACAGAAGACTTGAAAACAGGGTTTTTAAATCTATTTTAAACAACTCACGACGGAACATCCTGTAATGATCTATCCACTGAAATCTGCCAGGGACTCAAAACTTCTAAACTTCCTGGGAAAATGACGAGCTGGGAAAAGAAGAGTGCGACGTGATGGCTGCTTTACACAAACTTTCTAACTTTCCATCGTTGAATGAGGTCTGTCTGACTTGGTGTGGAGTGTTTGTTACAACTGAAGTTTGAACGTGCTCCTGTGCTGTTCGCCGCTGGGACGCCAAAGAGACTTTTCTGATTTCGCTTAGCTTAAGCGCAGTTACAAATGCAGACATCTGTTAAAAAATAGTGCTGTCCGACATAGACTGAGTGTTTTTTCCGTAGAATGAGATCACGTTTGTGAAGAACCCTCGCAGCATCAGTCATGACAACCAGCTCTGCGACTCTTTTATAATGTGTGTGGTTTTTGGAAGTCTATCAGTGGCGAGCACTCTTGCCATAAAACACATCGTTGCTTGGAGTTCCTGTTGTAATAGAAGAGCCTTCAATTATTTTGTTTGTAGGAATGGAATTTGTAACGTCGGAGGAGGAGTGAATTCGTAGACTAACAGCCTATGAAGCGTTCAGCAAAGGAGACGTCGTTGAGACAGCTTCACATCTCCAGCCTCAGCCTTAGAGCAGGTATCAGCTGCCTGTGAGGCCCAGGTTTCAGGAGGCAACCCCACCATAGCGCAACTCTGACTCGACTCAAAGGACATTAGCACAGGTCACTCTGTCCATATTCATTTTCAAGAAAGAAACGTCCTATCTGACAGCCTCTCTTCCACTGAGCGGTTTACCGGAACTTCAACTGAAGATCAGTCCAGCAAATTGCAGATCAACTGAAAGGCGAAAAGCACCAGACTGTGACACCATGCTCAGAAGTCTGTTTCACAAGAAGCCTAAGCATGAGAGGCTGGAGGAGGAACCTGAAGTCAGGTTTAAGGGCCTGCTGGTGTCAGAGAAAGACCTGGGATACACGTATGTCCGACCTGGAGGTAAGGCTACCTCTGATGTGTAGAACTTTACAGATAAGCAGAAACCTGATGTTCTGACATCAGTGACATGTAAATATTGTTCAGCAAAGGCCAGTTCAGGCTGCGGTTGGAAACTGCAAATGCTCATAGATGGGAATGTTACAAGCCTCTTCCGGCCCCTGTGCACGGGGATACAACATCTTGCTCGTGTTAAACGTCTCCTCCTTGAATCTTTCCCTGTTCTTTGGTATATCTCCCCCGTTTATTTTTAGCTCTGGGTGCCACTTTGTGCCAACTGCCATTCCAGGAAGTTACAGCAGCACAGAGGGCTACATGTTTGTCTAACGATAAGACTCCACGACCCCTCCACCAAGAGGTCATAACGCACTGGCAGCCTCACTAACAACTTACAAATCAGATGTTCGCCAATGAAAACACATTTTCTGTGACCCATAATGCCTTCCAGCTCTTATCATCTTGTAAATGCTCAGTAAATGTTAAATAACCTGTTCAACGATTGGTTGGGCGGTTCAGGTGCTTTAGCTGTATCTTAGTTCATCTGTTAATTAATGAGCATTATTCTGTTGTTTTTTTTGTAATGCAAAACGCTCAACCTTTCACATAACGTGCATGCTTGAATTTTAATGTCAGGCTCAGGAATCTGACAATCAAAGAAACTATGGTGATAAAATCACTCTAATTACAACCATTATTCACATCTGCTTTTTGGGTCTTTTATCGTGCGTCTTTAATCAGCCGGAGTTACTATTAGTTTGATGTGTATCCACCCCTCTTTAACCACGATAACCCATGCTCATGCTTAAATTTTAACAGAGGAAATAGTCGTGAGCTGTGCTGTGATAATGGGTTTTGTGTATTTTAAGATTTCTTTCCTTCCCACGACAAGTGAGTCAGCCTCACACTTAAAATTCAGTATCCATTACTGATGCTTTGACCAGGGGTAAGCACTATTACATATCATCTTTAATGACCCATTTGTACCTTCAAAGCAGGCACAAAAGGTCTAAGAGGACCCTGAGCAACATTTGTCCCACTTGTTATTGTGCAGACTTTAAAAGATGCTTGGTAATGACTATGTGTCACTAAAGAAACAAAGTGCAGGGGTCAAAGCTTCATAAGGAATCCAATGATTTCCCCAGCCTTTTCCTCAGCCTGATGGAGAGTGCAGGGGGGGGAGGAGAGAGCCTCTGTGTGTGTCAGCGGCTTCTGAGTGAGTGTGTGTTTAGGTTATCATTGACTGTCTTATCTGTACAGGCTGCTTTTGTAGGGCTGTCAGACTCTCGGCCCACAGGCATACTTAGCAATGTGATTGTGTGTGAGAGAGCCATATGTAGGTCTCAGAGAGAGTCTGGGCTGATAAAATTGACTGAAATACCTCTGCGTAGCTCCATACATGGAACTACTGGTCCCCACTCAAAATGATCCACGTCCTGCCCTTTCCTAATCTTTTATCTAACTTCCTCCCTAAGACCATAAATGAACCTGCTTTTTGTCCTTACATATCTTAAGACATGATCATATTTCAGTCAAGAGAACATGATCTTATTTGGCTGTAAAATGACTAAACTGACCTGCTTAATACTCTTCACCACAAACCTTGTTAAGCTTCACACTTTTAAGTTTTTTAAAATCATTTTTAATTATTCTAAATCCTTAGTTTTTAAAGATTTTGAATAAATTAGGCTTGACATAAGAGAGGGAAATTAAAACATGAGTGATGATGTGGGATTCAATTCCTGATATCCGAAAATCACATAGCAAGTTAGTGTAAGTTTGTTTAGCTTGTCTGTATTTGTAAGTTGCTGGCCTTACAGCGTGCATTGCGATACAGCAGGAAGGGGTCCTGGAGCTGAAAGTCCAGGTCCTTTGTGATGGGCTCTGTCAGGTTCTCCATGTTGAGTCGGTTCATGATTGTGAATCCATGCCTGGGAGATGCCTGCCTGAAATTCAAAGAGAGTTCAGCACAACAAGAAAAACACATGTAACGATATCACAAACAAATATAGCAAATAGCCCAAAAAAAAAAAAAAAATCAGTTTGACAACACAATTTAAATTCAACAATTTAAAAAATATGCAAGACAAAAATATGCTTCAAACTGTGTTAGTATCTCTTTATTTAAATAGAAATAATCCAAAATAATAAAATAACTAGTATCATAGATGCAAAGTAACCAGAGAATGTGCTATAAACCACATTATCGTGGTAAACAGTCAGAGTTTTCCAAATATTGCAGTACCTTGTGTAGATAAAAAGGGTGCCTTCCACCTCTGTCTTCTCCTGAGAAACAGGACAAAATAGAATCAAGAACATGAATCCAGCTGTACAGCTTATCTTAGAAATCTCAAGTTATCTGAAAATCACTCCAGTTCAAACAGATCAAATGAGGCAGAGACAGTCAAAGACTTAAAAACACACGGAAAATCAAAGTTAATTTGAAATCAAATGACCAACATGAACGCAAAGTTTCTATAACTGTGTGATTCCTTACTCATTTGAAATCATGAAATCATTTTCTCCCATAACTACATAATGAGACCGAGTAAACAAAATGAGTAAACTTTCTTAGTGCTGTCAGCTGTCTCTGTCATTGTGTGGCGGTATACGACAAAGTATTAAGTATTACAACTTCAACAGTTTGCAATATATCCAAACAAAAAATGCAATGAATCCTCGTTGAATTATCGATACGATTGAGTAAATCTGCTATTACAACGCGCGCTTATGGGAATAAACCACAAGGCTAAGCTAAGCTAGCACATGGAATCATTTATCAAACTTCAGACTTACCCACTCATTTGCCCTGTTGTTATAAGTATACAGAGCGACTTGGCTGGCCACGTCCACAATGTTATTTATGTAAGGGTCTTGTCGCTGCAGGGCAGCCAAACTTATGTCCAGTCCTTTAGCGGTCAGGCAGCCACTGCTACCTGCACAAGTCGCTGTCATTGTTAACTACAGAGAAGCTAGCCCGTTAGCCAACTAGCTTCTGCGCGCAACAGACTCGCGGAAAGATTTATGAAAAAAACAATCAAACCACTGACAATTGATAAAAGACAGTTACACCGGTAAAATCAAGGTAGCTTGTATGGCCATTTAATATTTCTGAATTGAAAGATTTCACCTCTTAGAGGGCGATAACTTCGTTAAGTGAGTTTAAAAACGGACATGTTTAGCCGGGGAGATTGTAAACAACTTAGACATGATGAGTTGCCTGACGAGAAGAGAGCTGCAGGCTTATCAATCAGAGGTGGAAAAATCGATAGAAACACCTCTGCTGGCAGGTGTGGTCATCTTTACAAACCAAAAAGTGCATATAGGGACATTCTTACAGAAGCGAGTATGAGTTTTCCCATATTCTTCATATATATATATACATATTTTAAAGAAAGTTAATAGAAAATTATGTTTTTCTTCTGTCAACAGAAAAGAAAATGATAATAAATTATTATTCCCATGATAATAATGATGATAAATATCAATATCGTTGTTGTTGGTATCATTACAATAATGATGTTTTATTAGAATATGTAGTATTTGAACCTACTGCCAGTCCGTCGGACTCTTGGCTCTAACTCCACATTCACAGCTCACATTTAATCCACTGGAGGGCACTAAAAGCTTGAATTAAGCACTGCTCTGTTCTCCCTTTTGGATTCATCTCACGAGTTGATGATGAGACTGCATTCGAAAAAAAAAAACAGTTAAACAAGTCCACCTCCGCATTTTCGTGGTGTTTGTCAGTTTTTTATTTCTTGTTTAGTTTGAACACAGCTGTGAAACACAGTGATGCTGATGGAACAATAAACTTCATGAAGCTCTTGAAATTCCACCTATTCAGGGTTATGGTTCTATTTCGGTTGTGTGATTAATCCTGTCAAAGCTTTCGAATGCACAACAGTTGATACTAATTTATTAAAGGTCTTGACAACAAAACCATCAACATTTAACCATTCACCTTGATTGAAGCAGGTTTAGACATTAATCCTGAAATGCTATTCAGTGAAAGTGCAGCTATTCAGCCTCTGACAGCAAATTCACCTCTTGAAAAATGAATGAAAGTCTTCAGTCCTGCATGTCTGCCTCTTCATCAACATGAAAAACGCTATTTATGATTCACCACCACGCTGTTTGATCATTACTTTGTCGGGGGTTAGTCTCTGTGTGTGTCTAAGTGTGTTAGGACATATTTATTTTTGTATGTGTTTGTGGGTATGAGCTTCTAAATGATGGAACTAATGAAAAACTCAGAAGCAGATCAATACTGTCAATAAGTATTCAGTCAAAACTCAGTGTTTTTTGTCGATGGAGAAAGACATCTGAGGCACAGTGGCAGTCTGTGGGCAGCTTTTAGTCATGTAAAAAATGGAGTGTAGGCATTGCTCTTGACAAAAATATGATGTAATTTCACTTTCCATTAAAAAGAAATCCTCCAGAAATGAAACTTTTACATTAGATATGTTGAAAGTTGAGAGGTTATGCTAATTTTTCTCGATCATGTTATGAGTAGCTTAGGGGAAATTATCATTCTGTAACCAAGAACCTTGTTGAAGCAAAGATAATAATACCACACTGAATTAATACAGTATGTGTCCAGAATAAGTTTCCCCTTTGGCATGTATGTATAAAGATGACAAAAAATGATAAATTAGACAGAGGTTACAGGCACATCCATATATATTTTCAGTGATCTGTAGACAAGGATAGCTATTGGACCTAAAATTATACTTTGAGACAGGGTACAAGTAAGTCTGGCATGTATCATAGTCTAAATGGTACATTATCTAAATATTTTCTACTACCATGTACTGAAGATATTTTTTAATGTTTTTATAACAAGGTAAAAATGAGCATTCTGAAATTCTAAATCCGAATATTATGGAAGTGGAAGTGAATTGAAAGATTCCTAAAATACAAATCTGAGCAGCTTAATGAAGCAGCCATCTTACTTCAATGCAGAAATTGTCATTCAACTGAGTAGCAGGTTGCTGGTTTCCCACATGGGATTCTTGCATTTGAATGTTTGTCTGATTCCCAGAGACCAACTGGGCTTAAGAGTCACACACACTCGCACACATACAAAGGGGTTTGGAACTGCAAATATAGAAGAGACAGGAATAGAACTGATACTTCGTGTGCAGGCAGGACATTTGTGCATGTGTGTCTGCGTGTTTGTGTGTCCCCAGGGCCAAAGTATCTGTTCCCACGACCTGCCCTCCGTCAGATTCTTCCTTCTCCCAGTCTTTCCTGTCCGTCTATCTCCCATTCACTGGCCAGCTCTAGAAAACTATGGCTACTCTGGGGAAGCTTAAGTTTCTCGTTGCCTCCATGTTTCATGACCGTTGCACTGCTGATAAGGCAGAAGTCGACATGAACTGGGAAGTAATGTAAATATCTGAGGATTTTACTCCAGTATGATTAATGTAACATAGAATGTCCATTCATCACAGTCAGCAAATATATGGCTGATGAAGATTCCCATGAAAGAGGCTTTTTTCCAGCTGGTTTTGTACAAATAACTGCTTGAGGCCACCAAGCTGTTAAATTAGTTAATTTGTTAAGTTAATAGAGATTGGAGTCACAAATTTATCTTGTGACTCCTTGAGATGAGTTTATCTTGTTTGGTTGGACTATTTGGAGACCTTGTCTTTATATTGGGAACATTGGAGAAAATAGATAAAACTGGCTCCACCTTGATCAGCTTTAATAATAAAATCATACTCTTGCACTGATTTATCAGAATTATGTATGTAATGATACGATCAAATGGCAGTTAAGGCAAACATTGTGTTGCTTTTTCTCGACAATTGGCTACTGTTACGTTAAAGGGCAAACAACTGTGTAATGTTAGACAGTGGATACGCAGACACACATCATTTAAGACATAAGAATAACTCAACTAAAACAAATAGGAAATAAAACAAGAAAGCAACAGTTTAGAAAACCCAACAGAACAGAAGAACTTGACAATGCCCAAAAAAATGTAGCAACAAAACCATAAAAAAACAGACCTGTATTAATCTTTTTATAGCTGCTTGTGAGACATGTTTTCTAAGGAACTGCAGTTATCATATATTTCCATTAACTTTTAATGGTTGCATGTTGTTGAATTTCCTGTTTATATAATTTGTTGAGATGTTGTTCTTTATGCTTGAATGTGATGAGGTGCATTTCCACGGTACTAAACTCTTGGAATGAACAGCATTACTGCAATGTGTGCGGACTTGCTTGAAAGACACAGTTTTTCTTTTGATATGTCAATGTGTCATTAGACTGTTGGTTCTGAAATGTAGCACATCCGGAGGACTTTAATATAAGCTAGTCAAAATGCACTCAGTTTTATCTGTTTCATAGATGGTCCAGTGTTCCTCATCTTGACATGAAGCAGCCTGTGATATAATACCCTGAGTGTTTCCATTCATTCATCAGTGCTGGCAACAATCCTTTCCCCTTCAAATATTCTATATTCATTTAACATCTGCATCACAAAACACTAGATATTTTTGAAGAAGACAATTGTGCTGTCAGATGTCTTCAATCGAATCATTTCTGAGTTGTCGCCCTGTCTTTACTATGTCTGCAGTGACACATTTGGACAAAAAGCTTCATACTATTACAGAATAGTGGGCGGGGATCTCGCACTAAAGCAGTGAACAAATGAATACAGGCTGGGTTGAGTCATCTGATTCACCTCCTGATTATAGCCTGCAGTGAGATTGACATGAGGCCTGCACATTGTGAACTTCGTATTCAGTGTCAAAGACAATTATATAGGAAGGCCACTGCCATGATTAGAATCTGGAAATGCTGTTACTGTCCTTAATACACCCTGGTGCTTCACTGGGACAATTTTGTTCTGCCAAGTGAACATTCTGAAAATATATTTTACACCTAAATTGCACCATTTGTTGCGAAAGATTGAAACACAATGTTTGAAAAATGTATACATGAAATGATTTTAGTATGTATAAAAAGGTCCTTTCCAGTTGACTATTTTCTTCCTCACCTGGCTGTGATGGGAAAACTGTTCAGTTTGAGAACTGTTTGCAGCTCAGTTTGTGCAAACAGCTCTATTCCAAAGTTCCGACACAATGTCATCGGACTGGTGGAAAGCTGCCTGGTTAAAAGCCGATGTTGTTGACTTTGTTTGACATTATACTCCAAAATGAGTTTCTGTATATTGTTGTGTTACCTAAGAAAAGTGCCCTTGTTTCCAGAAAATGACCTGGCTTGCCTCAAGGGTCATGACAAATTCGCTTCTGATCATGAGGGGTGATGTCGAAATATACTTCATTCTACAGAGAGGCAAAAGGAGAGAGAAAATAATCAAATTCCGATAATCTTTTCTGTTGTTGTACTGTAGATAAAAAGGGGTCAAATATAGTCTTTGAGCACTGACCTTCCTGAGGCAGTCTTCTCTGTGAGCTCTGAGTCTGCCTTTAGAAAACATAATCAGTGTCCTTGTGGTTCCTTCCTGTTTGAAGGAGGCATGAAATGATAAGAGTTTGAGTCATGAAAGAGTTGAAAAACCAGTTATTTGGTGACCGTGTAAACACAGACTGGGCCAAGGAAAAGAATTAAGCTGAGAGAGTCCAGATGTGAAGGGACTACGGACCAATGGGATGTACAGGTCTCTGATCTGTTTGTTCCTGAGCAAATTAGAGTCTTTGTAGGGTTTGATGCGGCTATGGATCATTGTCCCGTTTTATTTCCACTCACACACACACCGACACACTCGCTTCCTCCTTGCATGTGTTAATCACACTCACAGGTTTCAGCAAATTCCATTGAAAGTATCTGGTCCAAAATATGTTTTATAGTGTCGGCCCCTTTTTTTTTCTGAGCACACACTCTATAATATCATCCTCCTCATCATCACCGTCTTCGTCCTCATCTGGATCCCAGCCGCCTGCTCCCCACTATTGCCTTCACAGTTTCCCTCCTTCCCTCCCCTCTCTCTTTCTGGCACACAGGCGCGCGCGCACACACACACACACACACATCTGGAAACAGTCAGAGCGTCTTGCGCTGGGAGGGGGCTACCTCTCGCTCTCGTTCTCTCTCTCGGTATCACTGCAGAGCTGAGCTGCAGGGGCAGCAGAGACAGAGAGGAGAGAGCTCCAACTCCCGACCAGTAAGACAGACTGACTCCCAGACACACAGCCGGACCATCATGGACCGGATCAGGGCAGAGAAACCCGTCTCCGTATGAAACAGGACCACCTGGCTTCAGTTAGGGGGAGTCTGCCTTAGATACGTGGAATAACCAACAACCTTTTTGGAGATTTAACCCGTGCCACCCGTGATGGAATATTTACTCTCTTCTCGTTCCCCAATGTTTCTCCTGTTCTCTTCCTCCTCCTTTTCTTCCTTCATCACCTCCACCTCCTCTTCTTCATCCTCTCACATTTTGACACGCTGCTGAAGATGCGCACGAATGCGTCTTTTGCGCACTTCCATTGAGACCGTCACTGACAGCGCTCGTGCTTTGTAACATTTTGAAAGCCTTTTTATTTCCTTAACAACGACAAAGGAAGGGAAGAGGACGGAAGAGAAAAAGCCAAAGGTGTGAATTGAATTGAACGCGGTGCTGGTCTCATGTTTCTCTCCTAGGGCCCGGATGTACCGAGGGATGCACCGGTGCGTTTTCCAAACCGGTTCCGCCGAAAGCTCCCTCTTTTTTTTCGCCTTCACCTCCATCATGGGGATTAGGTAATATTCACTCCATCCGAAGAGACCCTCCCCATAAAAAAGAAATAACGGAATACCCAAAAACTGTCCGTGTCAGACAGTTCTGTCTTCTTTCCCCCTTCTTTGATTTCTTTATTTTTGGGGAGCTTTTTTCCTCTCGTTATTTTCCCTCCTCCTCTCCAGCTTTTTCCTCTATTTCCATTCACCTAAAGGGATAACGCCAGACTACATATATGGTAAATGAAAGCAAAAACATGTACATCCCGGAGGACACCCTTGAGAATCATCAAGGTATGTGGTGTGTTTTTCTTTTAAATAACTAACAAACATCTAAGTGTGCAGAAGAAGAGGAGGGAGGGTTAGAGAGAGGGAGAGGAATATGATGGTCTCGAAATGGGGATGGGATGGGGAAAGAGCAGGAGGGAGGGAGAGGGGGAAAGGAGAGGGGTGTCAGCTCTGTCTTCATTTCAACAGATGGACAGATGCACTTCTCACTTTTCCTCTGTGTGCACTTAGTTTCTTTCATCTCTCAACACAACAGTTTGCGCAGCGAGTGAACTTGTGCCGTGACAAGTCTGCAGGTCCACGTATAGAAGAGGCCTTGTTATGGTTTGGTTCCGTCCAGACTTGTATGTTTGACAGGCCTGTTCATCTGAAAACTGTGGCATAAGGGGTGGGCAGTGGTTATGTTTAGCCAACAGGCATTCGTAGGCGGGATCATCATGGTCAGAGACACATTTCCAATCGAAAATGACAGCATGTGGCGTGTGTGCACATTTCATTTAGCCAGATCCTGGAATATTTGAGCCTCTGGATTTAAGAAATAAACTAAAAATGAGTTGTAATACAGTTTGTGTTGAAAAATGGACAAATGATGGTTGCTAAGGAGTTTTTATATCCGCAGGGCTTTTTTTTTTAGATAGAAGCGCGATAGAAACTGCATAGATGACAAGTGGCAGTAGGGGGCCAGCAGGACTTATTTGTCTGCTGAGAATTAGGTTGATGATGAGCTATTTTTGGGGGATGGTGGCGAGGACAGCAGGTTGTTTTGCACGAGATACGACCTAACTTCAACATCACGACTTTCGAAGTATTTATAAAGCTACATATACAGAGAATACACCGACATTCAGTGCTGTGGTCTGTTTTACAGTACGGAAAGGGTCTGCTTGCATTGCGCAGTATTACGCGTCGCTTCTTCCACCCACGTTGCAGAGAGCAAGCCCACCAATGCATTCGTGTGCGTCCATGTTCAGATCAACAAGCTGCTGCTCACTCAATCACTGACATCGTTTTCATAACCCCTCGTTCGCGTCGTCTTCCTTATCAACTACCTCCATCACAGCCACATAGCTCTGCCTTGGCGACAGGTTCCATAGCAACAGGGTAGAGGAGAGGGGTGGTGTGTGTGTGTGTGTGTGTGTGGATGTGCGTGCATCTGTGTCGCAGCGTGGCACCTTTACCAACAGTTTGCGCCGAGGAGCAACTCACCAGGCTGCTGGTGGCCGTGGATCTGGCGGTTGTGTACATGTATTGTGTAGCCAAAGTAGCTATGAAATGCTGCCTCTAAGGGGCCTCAGGTAATTCTCTTTCAGAAAGCTGTCACCATCAGCAGAGAGGACTGTTTTTTTCTTTTCTTTGTTCTTTTGGAGCTACAGATGTCATCAGGCTGATTGTTAAAGAACAGCCTCCCAAGGCACAGGCATGCACAGGGCCCAGAGCACAGATACAAGATTATTGTATTTCCGCTATTTCCTTACCTCTTCCCAATCTCTTTTAGTAGTTCTTTGTAACTTTTGTTTATTTTTGTTTTCTTTATATGGCCACTGTTTCGTTTTTCTATAGCTTTTATATATCATTTTCTAAATCTTTTTGGGGAATTTTTTTAACTTCTGTTCTTGTTTCTTTTGATTTAATGGAAAATTAGAGATGTGTATCTCCTTAAAGATATTTGCCTCTTTTCGGGCATTTTCATTGTGATTCATCACTTGTTTATTGTATTTAGGGTTAATGTTTAAGTTTTGAACTGTGCTCTATTCTTTAAAAAACAAACCTTTAAATCAATGCAAAAGTATAAAAGAAAAGTAAGTAATACATTCTAAGTACCAAAGTCTAATTCTTAAACGTATACAAAAGCGTGACATTTTGAGTCTATAGTTTAGAATAAAAAGGCCCCATCACACTGGTATCTTTTGACAAATTTGAGCGAAGCTCCTGCTGGGTGGTGGTTTCAGCACCAAGGACAGTTCAATCTTTATTGGTCTATTGACAGCTGCATGACAACTGCTGATATTTGTGAGGATGAATAGTGGCTTTGAGGGATTGTTTTTACTTACCGTGATTTTCTCCAGTCATTGTTTATTTGCTGAAATTCAATAATCTAACCAGTGCAAGGACACTTCCTGTTACGGAGAGGATTTATAGTACCTATGTCTACTTTGTCATTTATATGCACGTGTTTGTGTATTTTTTTAAGTTTAGGTCATAGGTAAGTGGATCAGAGTGGGATATATTATCAGAGGCATGTAATTAGTTTCCTGAAATTAAAGATTATGAAATCTTTTTATAGCGTGCAGGAAGCAGAAGATGTCCTATATCCTGAAGCTTTGTGGTTTACTTCCTGAAAGCTAACCTTTTTAATCGTCTCTCAGCATTCTTCCCTTTATCAATTAGATCGTGTCCTTACATCTGCTCCGTAATTCAATCAGGGTTTATGATCCACACAGATGAACTGAATACTCATGCTCGCTGAATAAACCAGCTGTCCTACATCTGCAGGGTCTTATTTTCAGGATCCTTGTAAGTCTATCGAGCATACATGAACAGTAACACAACACAACCCACACGTGCAACCTGGCACATGATGTAGCTTCAGAGCAAATACACACACCTGTTGAATCACGTTATTGTTATCAGGGCAGGGGAAATCACACATATGCACACACACAAAAACAAGTGCACACTTTTTTTCAGTAGCAGCAGTGCAATCAGTGAGTAATTTTCCCCCTGGGCACTATGCCACAAGCATGATAATACCGCTGTTAGGTATGGTAATTGATTTCTGATGGTCACCTGGGGTGTTGGACACCTGCCAGTTCACATCACTCAAACGCATCATTGCTGCATTGAAGACAATTCAAAAGACATGTAACAGAAGCCTTTTATATCCTGACACTGACACTAAAGAATCCAGTAGGATCAGCTGAAGCAACTATAACTTGCTTTATTTCAGCCGTACGTAGTTAGACTTCTCATCCATTAGCATGCCTGATGTAACTGGAAATCTGGGCAATCAAGCAACAATTTACTACCAGTCCAGTTGTTCCACATATCAGGCTGAATTTAGATCTTAGCAAAATGAGATGGACAGAAACTCCTTGAGGAGAGAATCTTCAGGGTATTTTGCAGATTCATTAACTTTTTTTTTCTATGCTCAATATCTACATCAAATCCAGAAGATTTCACATCCAACAACAAAGAGTTGCACCTTTTCATTTGAGATTGTTCATGTTTTACAGAAAACGTTATCGACTTTAATGATTCAGCCATGAAACAGAGAGGCTCAAGAAGAATAATCCTTGTTGCATGCGTTTGAACCTTTACTTAGCCCACAAGGATTAGCTGTCAACGCTATTTACTGTCTTGCCTGAAGAGGTAGGGAATAATGGTTGTTAATTCAGAGAGTGTTTTGGAGAAGTGAAAAAGTTTTTCCAGCTTTATCAGGGAACTCTTTGGCCTGAATTTGTCATGAGAGCTTTCAAATGCACATTAATGGAATCCAAGTCCAAGCAAAGATAACTCCCTGGCATCACTGCTGTTATATTTTTCATGGTTTAAACTTTAGAAACATTATACAAGTGCTCTTGTTGGCTGTGTCGAGCTTGAACTTCATGTGATAAGCCTCTTCATTACTGTACTGCACTTAAATCCCAAACAAAAAAGTGAACAACTAAAAGCCTATATGAATTTAGAACAGTTATTCCCCTAATCTTCTCTTATCTTTGTGCTCTTTCCTTCAGAAATTCTTCACAGTTTGATCTTTTTTGGCCTCTAGAAATGTGGTTTTGCTGCTGTAGCAAAAAAAAAATGTAATTAGAGATTAAAGGTCAGAGCAGAAGAAGTTTACATCAACACCTGGGAGTGTGTTGAGGATGTGACTCAACAACAGCTCCTCCCATCAGAAAACACCAACTCAGAGCCAGAAAACGTGTAAGGAAAGATACAAAGTTGAAATATGACAACAAAATGACACATTTGACATAAAATGAGATAAAACAGAAGCAAGATGGAGGGTCCAGAGCACAGCTGGAAAGAAAGAAATGTGGTAATGATGAAAGGATCGGTTGAGAGAAATAGAGTCAAACAGCTCAAAGGAAAAAGGGAACTTCAGAGGAGAGAGAGCAGGAGGAAGAAGAGGAGCGGCAGAGCAATAGGAAGAGGCGGAGAAAGAGGGAGGATTATTCCTGACTTTGTCTTGCTTAAGCTGCTGGTCGGGTATTGGAAATCTATCCAGAGGCTGTCCTCTGCTGTTAGTGTTATCTGGCCTCAGTCTTCATTTCAGGTGGGACAATATGCCAACAGAGGCAGCACTGTGCACGTGTGTGTGCTCGAAATCGGGGAGAGGGGCAGAGAAGTGCAGTTGGTTGCCTGCCACATGCATGGCTGCTGCCTGGCTTCCACCATTCTGTGTATGCACATTAGTGTGTTTAGACACGTGTCTCTATCTAACACACATGCACACACAAGCACACAGGCACACACTTAATGGCCTGTCTGCATGTGAAACTCATATTTCATGGCTTAAGGGACCTTTGAAGATCAATGCTTTAGAATGTCACTGAGATTTCTGACTGTTGTTTGGGACTTGTATGCACAGCCCAGTTTATGGACTTTGCCATTTTGGTGACGGATGATTATGCATGTCTATACCTTTGTAGTCTTTTGCAGAAATCTGCAGAACTAAGGGCAGATTGTTTAATAATTGCAGTTATTTTACAAAAGCAACTCATTTTATTTTCTGTAGAAATGTCGAGCATCAAAGGCTTTAAGAGAAAAATATGCATATTTGATGCAAATGTAAAATGCATAATTGTTATTACTACTCATATTCTAATCACTACTCATATTAAGCTTTATGACAACAACTAAGGAACTCTGCACAAGTGTGTTTAAGTACATACGTGCTTCTCCTGAGATCAAAGAGAGGCTGAGGGATGAAGAGAGACAAGAGAAGAAAGATTGCTATATTATTCATGCCCACCATGCATTTCCCACTTTCCCATCTCGCCTGC